TGTGTCAGCATGTTTGTCAGTTTGCTGCTGAAACATCATACAAATGCTTTTCACATGGAACGAAAGTTGCGTTATTAATATCTGTACTATATATATATAAATATGTACATAAGTACATAAATAATATACATGTATACGTATATATTTGTATATAAACGTGCAATATGTATACATATATATCTGTATATACATGTGTGATGTGTATACATATATATGTATTCAGACATATACATATGTGTATATGTATATATTTCTTTCTATTTACATTTTCACACCCATGCATGCATATATGTGTATACAGATAATGATACATATAAGCATATATGGTGTTTATATTATAAGTGACTGATTTTTTTATGTAATGCTTTAAAATTATATCTAATAACATGTAGTGATAAAAAATATTTTTGTCACATGCTGCATCAATTGCTACTTTTTAAAAGTGGTATTTAGCAATATAAAAATTGTTTTGTAAGAAGTGTTTATTATGTTTGAGTCTATTGGATCTAATCTGTCCATTAGAACACTACAAAGCTTCTGTTTGTTATGTATAATGTTAAATCGTAACACTTCTGTTCCTCTGAGACTGTAATTATTTGCTTTTTACAGGATAATACCATATTGCCATTGAAGTTTGCTAACAACGATCATACGAAAAGGTGGGCGTTAATGTAATTTTATTAACCATGTATTTGAAACTTAGTACTATAAAAATGTGTTATATACAAATTGTTAGATTTGTAACAAATGTGATTTGTTTGTTTGGTCTAGTTGAAGTTTGGCATGTCTGACACATTCTGTTTAATGTTTGGTGTAACATAGTATTTTGGAGCAATTACAAATAGTGCTTGTTGGGAAAGTGTGTGGAATCACGATCGTCCCCCTTCTTTTCTATAAAATATATGATTTTATAATAAACAGGTTGAGTACGATTAAATCGATGCTTGTTTTTATACACGTGAAACAACATATATATTGCACTATGTAAAAGTTATTGCAAAAATTGTCCAAATATCAGTTTTGTATACTCTGTAATTTAATTTTCAGCTGTATCCCGAGGATTTTCAGCCATTATGGAACATTCCATCCACTGATCGAGTTGTATGGTAATTGAAGTTGAAATTAAAGAATTTAATAATAAATTTAATATTTCTTATATATTGTATTTCATAAATTATGTAGTAGTATGAATTAGATGCGGTTTTGCAAGTGTTAGAAATTTTATTACTTGCAGTCTTACATAAGCTTTAATAATGGAAAATAACATAAAGTATGATGAAAATGATTAGAGCAAATGTAAAAAATCATTTTTTGTTTCTGGAGGAAAAGAAGTGTATCGATTTTGTCATTATTACGATATACTTGTTTTAATGCATATACTATTTTTATATATTTTTATTATAAATTATTTATTTATTCATAACATACAGGCATAAATTTAAGATTTATGTAAATGAAAATTGTATATTTCTCTGTCGATTTGAGTATTTTGTAATTTTTAATTAAGATAAGTTGTTTTGTATAAAAATTTTATTGCTTATTTATAATAAATAATCTACTTTTTATACGTGTGAATAATTCAATTATCCATTCTTTTTTACTTACATTTATACAATAATATCCTTAAATTAATGTGTCAATCATTTTGTTATAAAATATGAAAATACAATTATGTCATGCCTATTTCAATTATAATGTATTATGATATTTGTTATACTGTACGATACTGCAATCAATATAAACGATTAAACTTTTTGAAGAGTCTGTATTTGATTTTTTCTTTAGTTAACATAATCATTTTCCTGCGTTTTAATATTTATGCAATAGGGAACTATATAACTTTGTACAAAGGATTCATGGTCACAAATATACTAGTTTAATAAGAAATAAACAATATAAATGATTAGTCTCAAATTCCAAGGCGACTGAAAACATCCGGTTTCTTCACATGCGCTACCGTTGCAATTCTGTCGAAAGTTACTTGTTTAGTACTGCTTGTTTTAACCATTCCCAAACGTGCTTTTGCTGGTATCGAAGTTAACCTTTCTGAAGCTAAGAAAAATATTGCATAAAAGTTAAAAAAATTGGTACAGTGAAAATTATAAAGATTCATATTATTATATAATTATAAAGAATTATAAAGATGTGTAAACAGCGTTATTGATGTTGGGCTACATACCTAGCTTTCCAGATGTAACATTGGATTTTATCAATCTGTTGTCTCTTAAAGATGTGTTGTTAAAAGAAATTCTTTTCGTTGTTTTCACTAATTGTGTAACACTATTTGACATAACTTTTCTATTTGCTTCTTGATCAGCTCGCATTGTGCCTACATTTTTTGGTACAATTTTATTTGTTGTAAGAATCGAAGTTCTTGTATTGGAACTTCTGCTTTTTAATATTCCTACACTATTTGTTCCATTTTTCAGTATACCTGCTTGTGTTAAGATATTATCCTTTTTGGCATCTTTATCTCCTAATCGATTAAAAACACTCACAGATCTTTTAAGGATATCTTTCCCTAATCCAGTAATATTAAATGTCTGTGATGTTTCAGTTGGATTTGTTGTACTAGTTACAGAACTGTCACCCAGCCTGTCAAATACAGTTCGCTTTTGTTCTACGGAGTTTTTAAGAATTTGTTGACTTCTAGATGTTGATCCTTTTGGAAGTATTACAGTATATCCTACTTTATTATCTTTATTATCAAGTGATTTTAGTTTTTTAGGTGGTTCCTGCCATTCGTCTTCATTATTACTATCAAATTCATTGTCCTCTTTTAATTTTCTTTTAAGGATGGTCTGCTTCTTTTGATTAGCAAGATCTGTAATTATTTCACCTGATGTTGATGCTGATTTTTTAGCAACAACAGTTTTCTTGACCGAAGTTGTTGGAATCTTAACGATCTTTTTTGTGATTATTGCATCAGATTTAAGTTTAGTAGCAATAGCTTTAGAAGTAGAACTAGCTGCTTTTGTTGTTACTTTTTTAATTATTGGTTTCGGCTTTCCAACATTATCTTCTGTATCAACTAAGAATCTTTCACATGTTGTCTCTTCTACTACTTTTTTTGCATATCTTAAAATAGCAATCATATCTCCCATTAAAGTAATTCCCATTTCTTTGAGACTAGGTTTGTCCAAATCAGGTAACATGTCTGGTTTAATACGATTATTGGAAAACACAACAGCATGTTTTGTAGCTACATCTTGTGGAAATCCAGCTCCTTTAAAAAATTTTACCCAATATGCTATAAAAGAAAAAGATAGTAACAAATGATAATTTTTACACAAAAATTGAAAAATTAGGAAAATTACAAAAAATTCTACATACCTGATAATGATGATGCCATTTTACCGATTAGGTTATTTTTATTATTTGACACAATAATGTTTTATAAATAATTTCATACGTTAAAAATATATCATTCACAGACAAATTAACAATATTATTTTACATATTTTACAAAATTTGTTATATTGTACACAAATTCACTTAAAATAAATATTTTTGTGAACGAAAATATACTGTTTCGAATATATAGATAAGAAGAAATGTTCAATTATAATTTGTTGAAAAAAATATCACAGAATATTGTTAAAAAATGATAATAAACATCGGCATTCCATTGCTTGAAGCTTCAGGTCTATTCAGGTCTATTCATGTCTAGTTGCCTGTACATATATGAACACAAATGCGTGAGTGAAATTGGAATGCTTAGATAAAATTTTAGAGAAAGTCTCATGTGGCGACACCACCGGCAAATATAAGCATTAGTCATAAGTGGCAATTTTTATTTATAAATGAATTGAAATTATCTTTAAATTTGTACACTATTACAAAATAAATGTACAATACATATAGCTCTATGTAAAAGAAATTATAAATTTCTAATAAAATGGTAATATTCATTAATTTCGTATAATATATTACAAAAATGTAAATTATCTGAACAAAAATTTATTATATTTTATTATTGAAAAGAACAATACTTATGTACGTTTTAAATTGGAAAGTATAATATATTTGAAGTAAGTAAGAAATTGAATATTGTAAGTTTGACTGATGCAATTGTTGCCGTTCTAGGTATAAAATGCTTATGCCTGCATGTCCGTGAAGTCTCGGAGGAATGGTGTTACTCTTGTTGTTTTGGAAATTTCACACGAATTACCGTACTATTTTTATCGTGTGTGGGTGAATCAGGTGTCATAGTCGTCTTTGATACTATTTTCGATATCTTCATATTCTCTAAGCCGTTTGCTGGGCGAGATTCGCGCTTAAAAGAAGAACGGAGGTTAGTTTCGGCAGATGTATTGGGGTATGTAGTTTTCTATGAAACCGAGTTTGAAACAAACCGATAAATGTAACAAGATTTCGTTGTGCTGTAAAAACCTTACGGAAATGCTTTGTTTATTTATAATGAATTCTTATTTAAATGCGATACTTTATCTTCTAAGCAACATTTGATTTTGTCTTTATTTGAATTTGTTGTATGCGTATTTGAACAAGAATATGAATTTTGTTAATAGTAAACATACTTAACTAGGATTCATTCAGTTCTTTTTAATTTGTTTTTTGGACAGAGTTTACATATTATGAAATATCTATAAACTTAAGTTACATCGATATTTAACTGAATTTAGTTTTATAATTAGGTTTACATATGTTATGTTTGATTTTGTGAATACGTATTACAGATAATGATACATATTAGACATATACATAAAAAGAGGGATAATGTATTCTAGCATATTTTGTTAAGCAGTCTAATTAAGTTTTCGATCCACTGATAATATATATCACTGGAATACTTGATTGCATTATTACAATTCGCGGGGGTTAGCTACGAAAGCTGTTGCGTAGGAAGAGCGACAGGGTGTTGAGTAAGTAAATGGTACGGGTAGAATCAAGGAAAGCTAGCAACTAAAGTAATGAGCAAGGGTGAAAGAGAGAGAGAGAGAGAGAGCGCGCTCGCGCGCGCGAGAGAGAGAGAGAGAGAGAGAGAGAGAGAGAGAGAAAGAGAGCGATAGCGTGGGAGGGGAGGCTCGTGCGCCGGCGAGCAAATCGTGTGTCAGACTCGTGGCAGAGGGGTCAGCGCGAGAGAAAGAACGACACGAACCGAACATTTTCTGGACTTAGCGGGTACGTTTTCACGTTACAAAACGTACACCTTTTTTTCATTTTCAGTTATTTGTTCATTTTTCTTTATTTTTTCTCAAATCTCCATTTATTTTCTTTTTAACTCATATTTCCATTTTCTTTCTTTCTCTCTTTCTATCGCCTGTGCGCGCGTGTAATTTCCTTTTCGTTTTTTTTCTTGTATCGGCAACTTATATTTTTTTATCAACAAATGCATTTAGTCTTTATGATCAGTATTAGCGTGAAACAAGTGTAAGAAATGTCCGAACAAATTGTCAGTCTCGGTTATGATCGAGATCAGCATATTCAAGTGTTTGCTCGTTGATTTGTACATACGAAAACGTTTGTAGCTGTGTGACATAGAAATCATTTACATTTAAAGGAACGTGATATATCCGCGGAAGGATGAACGACATGGAAGCTTACGGGGATGGATACATGGAGCCCGAGGAAGAATGGGAGAGGGAAGGTCTTTTGGACCCAGCTTGGGAAAAACAGCAGAAAAAGGTGAGTTGAATTTGTCTCGTTTTTATTTAATAGAATTTTATATATTTCTTTTTGCTTCGATAAAAAAACTTCGATTTAGTTATATAGTACTGGACAACGATATATCATATTGCATATTGAGCGATTGAACTGGTATTTTAATGTTCCTATTTGTGTTGAGTACATTTGTTTAGCCTACTTTTTTGTTTTGCAAATTTGCAAAATGTTATTATTATTTTCACAGTGAAGGTGTTCATTCTGAACGTTTATCACTTACAGAATATTTGCCTACTAGATTTTTGAACTACTGTACATAACCTCACGGAGCACGATACGATTTTCAAATGTTGTATTAGGATACATACGACGGCATATAATAAGCGAATACATCGCATATGATCTTAATGATAATGAAAGTGTCTTATTTTAATTGATTTTATTTTATACAAATTATCAATAGTACGCGATTTTCGCAAATCGAACGAACTTTACTTTTTCAGAGTTAATTTTGTATTTATCGCAAAACATTTAATATCTAATTTTAGTTTCATTTCTGAGAGAAAGACTATCGCTGTTGTCGCTAATCTTCTATTTCTTGTAGATGTTTATACTTTCCGTCCGAATTATACGAAATTTCCGTATTATACGTCCGAAATATCTTCTACTCCTCTGTGAATTGTAGGTATTATATTTTAAAATGCTGTGTATAGAGATTAAAACGCAAAGTGTCTTCGATTAACAATGAACGTTTCTTTGACGCAAATTTTGATTCGTAATATACGGAGAGATAATTATGCTAGAAGAAATACCCGGAGAAGATACAAGGGTAGCAGATTAATACGGTGTCAATTGATAAAATGGAACAGCTTCAAGTACGCGTTGAAAATGTTTTCTTCATTTTTGGCAGAGGCTCAAGGCTCTCAAGACCGACTCGATTACATGGGACGTTAGATGTGGCAGCCCTTTGGATTGTATTTTCAGACTTTATGACAAAAATAATCGAGCACTGAGTCATTTTAAGCTATCGTAGTTTCGTTGATGTTCCTCGATTTTTGATCGTTGAAATAAGATTGCGGTACCGTCGGTTTCATTGGCACATGCGATAATTTTGTGATTATTTCGTTACTGGATCGTTTCTTCATTTGTATCAGTCTCGAAGTATCGTTGCTAGAAATACTTAGATATGTAAATTATTACGGAACTATGTTTGTCTGACAATTGGCTCGATGAACCAGAGCCGAGTAGAGTTCTTACAGAATTTGAATCTTATGAAATTACCGTTTCTAATTTTCGTTCCCTATTTTCAGTCTTTTGCCAATGAGAGCTTTATCTTGATATTAATCTTATCTTGATATCACATTCCTGATGTGTTAGTTAATTTATCGATGTTAAATAACACAAATCTGATATTTTTATCGATAATTTATCATATGCTCGAAATAATTTTCAATGTTCTTATTGTTATCATTTTTCGAATTCACAATTTTCAAAAGATATTTTAATTTGCTTACTTAACATTCTAGAAATAAAATCCAAAGATTTGTAGATACTTTTATCTTGGTTATCTTAAGCATTTTTTGAGGGATATTTTTGACACGTTAACAATCACACTTTAAGATACATAGTACGTAGACTAATTGGAAAAAATCTTCGTGTGATAATATTTCAACCACGAAAGTATATTTATTTCCTTTAAAAGAAAAATAAGAGTTTCATCTCTCTCTCGTTCTTCATATTCTCATTAATTACCAATAGCATATTTATATCGTTTAATATTTTCATACATGTATCTTTCATACAATGATTAAATATATAGATAGTAATATATTCGGAAAACTAAGCTGTCGGCTAGTTAACTGTATAATTTCTCATAAAATCTCGGCCACTTGGACGGCTTTCGAACTGCGCACGAAACATTCCGGGGGACGGTGATAGGCATTTTTTTCTTTCGCTTTCAAATGGGTCACGTTGCTTGATGCTTTGCGAAAACTCGCTGTTCTTGCGCTTGTTTCACGATTTCCGTTTGACTTTATCTACTTACGAACATCTTGAACGAAACGACTTCTTTCTTCAAATTGCCGAAATTTTTCTATAATTTTGTCGCGTCATTCGAATTAGCTTTGATCCACAGGCTTCGTCTTCGCTGGATACGATCTGTACACGAAAGATACCAACTTAATTGGCTGTTAATTACAGGTTCTCGTTGACGTCTTAATTTTTATTCGTAATCGCATTCTGTGCATAGATACGTGTAATAGAGAAATTTTCGATTGTTGTGGTGGTGAAGTACACTAACGTAGAAACGTGTTGTTGCGGAGAATCGTCGAAGGTTACGGAACTGCTTATCTAGTGTTACTGTCAACTGGTTATTTTACGTGGTGCGATACGGTGATACTCGTTACGGTTCGTCAGGGATATAGCAGCATTCATGTATATAAGTATATACTTACTTTCTTCGTCGTTTACGTTCGCACGGAGCTGACATTGCTATATATATATATATATATATATAGATAATGCACGCGGTCGAAGACATCGATCATATTCTCTGATCGATCGCCGTTTTCAAATTTAACCGGCGTTTATGCCGGTCGTTCACGACACGATCTTACCTGCGATTGTGTAAAGTATGCTGTTCTCTGTTGTCGCACATTGCTCCAAGGTCTGATCGTGTAGCGTTCGTGTGAGTAGGGTTCGTAAAGTGACAGCGTGTTACGTATAATCTTTCGATAGGACGAAAGAAGAAAAATCGTTTTAAAAACAATTTGTAACGCGTTCCGGCGATAACAATGAATTGTTTTACCAACCAGAAACTGTACGAATATTGGAAGTTCCAAAGATAGGGGAGGCGCAGAGTTAAAGTTGCGAACGGGCGAGAGCTATCGATCGATTTCTTACTCGATGCGAGCAGAAGATCGTTAACCTTTGAGAAGTTTCGGCTGTACGCCAAATCTTAGATTGGAATCGGGTGACCCACGCATGCTATGCACCAGTAAGTCGATTGTTATGCGATGATAAGTTCCGCGCGCCTGAACACCTTTGCCGGCTGTTTATTGCGAATTCCGCGATTACGCTTCGTTAAAATGCAATCGACACCCACGTTTTACTATTTTCAGCCAACTATTCGCCGTTTGCAAAGGTCGAACGATAATTACGCGAAATATATGCGTTCAGTGTAACCGGTTGGAATGGTTTCTTGAATGAATTTTCAGTATTTCCACCCGCTGCGGTGATACTGTCCGCAAATAGAACGTCGACCATGATATTTTCCGTTACGTATGATCTTCCAGGATTATTTTCGGCATGTTGTGCGTAGAGAAACGCAATTGATGGCGCAGAGTAACATCTTTTTCCTTGAATTCCTTTACCTCAATCGTTTACATCGCGCGAACCAAAGTCATTGAGTTTCCGCGGCCGATTAGCCCGCGGCGCTACATAACGCGATGTTCAGTCGATCGGTTACGCGACACATTCTCTAGGATCTATCGCAAATAGGACGACGATGTTGCTGAAACCGCTGAACCACTCTTGTGAAACATGTAAAAATTTTATTTGTTTCATGTAACTAATGTTATTTGATCTAACCGGCCGCATCGCCACCTGTGCTTTATTTCAACGCCGGAATAATAGAATGCTGCGAACCGATAATGTGTTCGTACACCGGTTCTCGTAAATATCTTTTACAACAGTTTCATTGCTACGCGATTTTCACGTGTATCATAAAAGTAACTTGGCAATTTCGTTCTCCTGTCGCTCTATCTCCTACTTCATCGTACATTTTTGCCTTAAATTCGTGTGTTTCAAGGTACAGCGGAGTTGCGTAGAAAGGATTCGTTAATTGGCCGCTTTGGCCAATAATTTTTCACCGACTATGAAGGATATGTATATGTATATGTACGTATAGCGCGTCGTGTAACTGTTAATGGTAAGAACAGAGTAGAAGTTTCAGCTATCTTATGGAAGTTTGACACAAACGAAAAGAAATTCAATGCCAGAATTTAAGAATAGATATAAGTTGCAAGCGTGTTCACGCGCGATATTTAGAATTTGGGTTACGTGAATTATGTGCATCGTATTCAGGGCGTTTCGTGTTTAACTGCGTTTATTTTTGGTGCAACTGCAGGTAGCTGTAAAAATTTTGTGTAGACAGTCGGATTTATATACTTTTCTACTTACATTTGTCCCGACAGCCCGTTACAACGATATAGCCAGCAAAAGATTTATTTGATCGTGCGTAGCGTGAAATGATTTTGGCGATCGATCGTTCGATCGACCGAGAGTATATCTTGCAAATAAAAATCATCTGTTTATATCGTGTCATTAACTCATTGACACGCGAGACATTCTTTCCGTTTATAAAAGGATGGGCATGAGTCACGAACGTAAGTAAAGAAAACCTCGTAACTCCATTGTTATTCTGTGCAACTATGATTGTATAGTTTGTTTACATAACTCGATATTCGGTTTACTTTTGTAAAGTTACCGTTTATGTAATGGAATTTGTTTGTCTGGTAATATTTGTAACCTTTTGTATTGTGCAATTACAGGAAAAAGCAAAGAAACGTTGGATATTTATAGAAATACAGCAATAGCTACGATGAAAAAGTTACGAGATTATAAAATCCTCGCGAATTCTCGCGAAACTTATTTTTGAAACAGAATTCGGTTCTTCAAGAGAAACACGACCATGGTTCTCGTATAGATATAGATCAAATGATTTATCAGCAATGAATTTAATCGTGTTGTAATTTCTGTGCCATTCATCAGTTTTCAATTTTTCCTTTATTTCTAACTTTTTTGCTTAGCCGTTGAAATAGAGCGCCCCTGCCCCCCCCCCTCCGCTCTCTTCCTCTTCGGTTCCAGTAAATATATCGGTGATTGAACTAAAATCCAAATAGCTTATACCTACGAATGATAAATTAAAGAATGTGGAAATATTAATTTAATATTCTGATTGAAAATAAAACGGATCAGAACGTGTTCGAAATGCTTCAGCGCTCAGCGCGGGAGGAGTCAATGTTTTACAAATAGATCTTAGAGCGCTCGTAGAAGTTAAGGTGGCTCATGTCCAATTTTGGCCGGTCGCGCTTCACGCTAGCCGTATTAAATTTCAGGCAATATTTTTCTCTCTCTGCCCATTCCCCTTTAAAAAAATTTACAAGTATCGATGTCGTTTCCTTTTCACATCTTTATGCATTTTTCAACAACCTAGGGTTGACTGTAACGATGTTATCAATAATATCGTCAAATCAATGATTGTATATAATACTTGTTTTTATCGAACTTATTATATTGTATTCTCGGAGAGATATAATTTGTAATTAATGAAATAATAAGAAACGTGTTTGTTTTCAACATTTATTTATGTTACCATGCTACACTATTCTTTAATTGTATTTCAAACTAAATTAAAAGCTTTTTTTTTTGTAAGATATGTTCATTAATGCTACATGCTATATATTAGAAGATAGGAGAAGAAGATATCTGTGTGATACTTATTTTTGTATAAATCGAATATTGCAATATTTAACAAATAAATAACTGTTTTTCAAATAAAGTATGTTTCAAGTCAATTGCTTCATTTAACCATGGGATATGGTATAAAGTAATTGAGATCGTTATCGTGTGTTTGAGTATATCGAATTTTATGCTTCAAGATATCAAAGGTTTGAAAATCTTTAGCCTGGGCAATGGGAAGCACAGTTTAAGAACCGGGACAGGAGATATATATAGCAGGAGGGATTGGGGTCGTTACTAAAATATATGCTAAGCAGCATTCAAGCTCAATTCTCCATTTTAAATTCTTTGTAACCGTGAAACATTACTGTTTAATCGATCCTGTAGAGATTGAGATATTGAGAAAAAAGATATCGAGATATTATTGAGAAATTAGAAATAGATAAATAGAAAATGAGTGAACATCAATGTTATGTTTATATTTGCAGACATTCACAGCATGGTGCAATTCGCACCTTCGCAAAGCTGGAACCGCTATCGAATCGATCGAAGAAGACTTTAGAAATGGACTGAAATTAATGTTACTACTTGAAGTAATTTCTGGCGAAACTCTGCCAAGACCAGACAGAGGCAAAATGAGGTTCCACAAGATCGCGAATGTGAATAAAGCTCTTGATTACATTGCCAGTAAAGGTGTAAAATTAGTTTCTATCGGAGCAGAGGGTAAATATCATGATTCTTTGAACAGTTCCTTGTAGGAGTTGAGTAAAGTTGAATAAAATGCAAGGTCATTGCTTAATTTTTACCAGAAATCGTGGATGGCAACTTGAAGATGACATTGGGCATGATCTGGACCATCATTTTGAGATTTGCTATTCAAGACATTTCTGTGGAAGAAATGACTGCTAAAGAGGGTCTTTTGCTGTGGTGTCAACGTAAAACTGCACCGTATAAAAATGTCAATGTTCAAAACTTCCATCTATCCTTCAAGGATGGTTTGGCGTTTTGTGCGCTCATTCATCGTCATCGCCCTGATTTGATTGATTACAATAAACTTAGCAAGGATAATCCTTTAGAAAATTTGAACACTGCCTTTGATGTTGCTGAAAAGTATCTCGACATTCCTCGTATGTTAGATCCCGATGGTAAGTATATATATATATATTTTTTTTTTAAACGTTTCGTCACATTCAAAGCAAATGTTAAATGCGTTACACTTTGCATACTGTCGATTAACGTGATAGAGATATTTTTTAACCAAATAGTTTAGGCATTTTGTTGGGGTTCAGGATGGAACTACGATCAGATGAGCTTTTTCTGTCACTTAAATGAATAGATTCTTAATATTATATTCCCTTGATATCATATAGATTTGATCAACACACCCAAGCCAGATGAGCGTGCAATCATGACGTACGTGTCCTGCTACTACCATGCGTTCCAAGGTGCTCAGCAGGTCAGCGTAAAGAAATGCGTGTTGTTCCCTTACTTTGGTTACAAAACGACCTGTGCTATCTTTCACTAATACACTATCATCGTATGCTTACACTTAACAGTGTTTCATCATGCTAATTTCATTGTATAACTTATACTTGTTTTATGTTCAAATGCTACGTACTTACAGACAAAATGTTGACTGTTGGAAAGATTTTCTTGATTTATCTATAGGTTTGTTTCCGTTACCCCTACAATGTACACTGTACAGCCAATTCATGATATTAGCTAGAGACAATTAATATATTTCTAATACATCAATGAGAATTACAAATATCAATTAAAATTACACTCCTTGATAGAAGACAAACAAAATTTTTCAGTGGACATTCTTAAGCTAACATTGCATGGTTTGAGTTTTTCCGAATGTGTTTTTCTAGATATGCGAAATACAGCAATGCCTGATGAGAGAGCTGTGATGACCTACGTTTCCTCATACTACCACTGCTTTAGCGGCGCACAAAAGGTGTGTGTTTGCATTTGAAATTAACCTATAACATATAAAAATCGTATTATCTGTGTACAATTTACTCGTTGAATGTTTAACCACAACTAAATTGGAAACAAATTTCCGATGATATGCTTTTACCCAAACATATCGACGCACATATAGCGATTACAACGATACAATGAAGATCTCCGTTTCCTAAGGCGAATTTCTACTTTTCATTGTAGGCAGAGACTGCCGCAAACAGAATATGTAAAGTTCTAAAAGTGAATCAAGAAAATGAGAGACTCATGGAAGAATACGAACGACTGGCATCTGATTTACTGGAATGGATAAGACGAACCATGCCTTGGTTGGCTAGTCGTCAGACCGATAATTCCCTTGCCGGTTGTCAGAAAAAATTAGAAGAATATAGAACGTACCGTCGTAAGCATAAACCACCGCGAGTTGAGCAAAAAGCCAAACTCGAAACGAATTTTAACACTTTACAAACGAAACTGCGACTCAGCAATCGACCTGCTTATATGCCAACTGAAGGAAAAATGGTATCCGATATAAATAAGGCTTGGAAAGGTAAAATATTCTAACACTTGTGTCAACTCTGATGACGAAGTAACAAGTACTTTTGACGAAAGTACCAAGATCATTTGATTCGATTATAGGTTTAGAGTTGGCAGAGAAGTCATTCGAAGAATGGCTTTTGTCGGAAATGATGCGTCTCGAGCGTTTGGAACATTTGGCTCAGAAATTTAAACATAAAGCTGATGCTCATGAAGAATGGACTGCAGGAAAGGAAGAGATGCTCACATCACAACATTTCCGACAGTGCAAACTCAATGAACTCAAAGCTTTGAAGAAAAAGCATGAAGCTTTCGAATCTGATCTTGCGGCGCATCAGGATCGCGTGGAACAGATAGCTGCCATTGCTCAGGAGCTCAAGTAATTTTGCAAAATACTTGCACCAAATTATTTTGAAGATATGTTCATAATAACATTGGTACTTTCTTTTATAGTACCTTGGAGTATCACGATAGTGCGTCCGTTAATGCTAGATGTCAACGAATTTGCGACCAATGGGATCGCTTGGGTACTCTTACCCAACGTAGACGTCAGGCGTTAGATGAGGCCGAACGTATTCTTGAAAAGATCGACGTCCTACATTTGGAATTCGCTAAACGAGCTGCTGTAAGTTTATATTATTACGTATGTGGTAAAAAATCTTTTCCGGAATTTAATGATTATGACATAATTTTTAGCCGTTCAATAATTGGTTGGATGGAACCAGGGAAGATCTAGTAGATATGTTTATCGTTCATACGATGGAGGAAATCCAAGGTTTAATGGATGCTCATGCTGCGTTTAAAGCAACTCTTGGAGAAGCTGATAAAGAATACAATGCTATTGTGGGATTAGTGCGTGAAGTTGAATCAACAGTCAAACAGTTCCAAATTCCGGGAGGTCTTGAAAATCCGTACACTACTCTCACTGCTTTGGACCTTACGAAGAAATGGAGCGATGTCAGACAACTTGTACCTCAGCGTGACGGTACACTGCAAGCGGAACTTCGCAAACAACAGAATAATGAATTACTTCGACGACAGTTTGCTGAGAAAGCTAATGCCGTTGGTCCGTGGATAGAACGTCAACTAGACGCAGTTACAGCTATTGGTCTCGGTCTTCAGGGTACTTTGGAAGATCAATTACATCGTCTGAAGGAATATGAACAAGCGGTTTATCAATACAAAGCTCATCTTGAAGAACTGGAGAAGATTCACCAAGCTGTCCAAGAAGGCATGATATTTGAGAATCGATACACTCAATATACGATGGAAACTTTACGAGTTGGATGGGAACAATTACTTACTTCGATAAATCGTAACATTAATGAAGTCGAAAACCAAATTCTTACTAGAGATTCGAAGGTAACATTCTTTTTTTTTTTAAATTATCTCTTCATCTTTTTTCCAACGACTAAAATAAATTTAATGTGTATTGTAGGGTATTACGCAAGAACAACTTAATGAATTTCGTAGTAGTTTCAATCATTTTGACAAGAACCGTACAGGTAGATTGGCTCCTGATGAATTCAAATCCTGTCTTGTTTCTCTGGGTTATTCCATTGGAAAGGATAGGCAAGGTGACATCGATTTCCAGCGTATTCTGGCTATTGTTGATCCAAATAATTCTGGTTACGTACATTTCGATGCGTTCCTAGACTTTATGACTCGCGAATCTACAGATACAGACACAGCCGAGCAAGTAATCGATAGTTTCCGTATACTTGCTGGAGACAAGGTTTGCATACTTTTATCTAAATGATCACAATTTTATTTCGAAATATTAATTAATTATTATTTGTATCGTTTAGCCATACATTTTGGCCGACGAACTGAGGAGAGAATTGCCACCTGATCAGGCTGAATACTGTATTCAACGAATGCCTCCATACAAGGGACCGAATGCAATCCCTGGAGCATTGGATTATCGTTCATTCTCTACTGCTCTATACGGTGAATCAGATTTGTAAGGATACATATCAAAAATCATGAAAACTTTTTGGACGATTTCCATTTTAAAAAGCAGATGAAATGTTATTTGAAACGTATGTCGCACGTTTTGGTACTCTAACGCATCTTTATAAATTGAGAATCTCAACGCGATCAAAGAATCATTGACTAGCCTCAAGAAATATAGTATAATATTCGGAGCGTTTGGGATGAAAAGGCTCTAATACGTTTATACGTGTCACGAGTTAGCAATTTTTTATTCGTGATATTTTTTTAACGTAAAGGAACCTGAGAGCTATACCGATAAATTTTGATACACTGATATTTGCTAAGATGTCTATTCTCTATCGTTATCACGAGATGAAATTGACGTATAGCGCTCGATGAAGGTGGTCCGTACTTAAATAAGTCTGTACAGTGACAATAAATATACACAATTTAGATACCTTGACGTTAAAAGAGTAGCACAATCGAATACAACAGATTCTTCTAGAACGTTTGCTTCTTGCCTATGTCTACGGTGAGTCCTATAATTAGTAAGTTAATGTTTCAATTGTATATAAACATGTCCGAGAAGTCACACGAGTACCAATAATAGAGAGAATAATAAGCATTTCCTTTCCGTAAACGTTCCAGAAAAGGAGAGGATAATATAGTTCCATAAATGATTAATATGTTAAAATGGAAAACGTGATTAAACGGTTTATTACGTACAATTTTCGCATGCATCGATATTGCAGTCGTACATATTGTTTAAAAAATATTCCATTTTATTGGGAGTATTTGTATATTTTTGAAAAAGCTGTTTAAATCGTATCATACAAAAAATAGCTTAATTTTTCCTTGGAAAGAAAAGTTTGATTTGTCTAAACGAGATGATTGTTTCAGTTGAAAAACTAAATAAACTATACATTTTTTATAAAATAAGCTTTGGAAAGAAACAGTTACTCAGATTCAAACGCAAGGCGCAAATCGATGTTCGTAAAATATGCGAAAATTCATAATGTGTGTATAAATTAATAATATTAACGATATAAACGAATATTTGGAAATTCGTACATACGTACGAAACGACTTTCTCGCTAAGAATCCAGAAAATACTACGCTCGAAATCGAACACAACATTCATATTTTTTTATAATAAGCGGCATAACGAATTCTTAACGAAAGAGGGGGGGGCCGCTTTTACATTTCGTAAATCGTATATTAAATAATAATGCGAAACGATGCTAAAGAAAGCAAATTATTTATTTATTTGAATTAAACGATTATTTATTATTGTTCCGATAATTAATTATGGTAGTAAAACAAAGCCACTTTTTCAAAGTATTTATTTTTATAAATATTTGACAGAAGTGATAAATGAAAGGCCAATGTAATATAAGACCCATTATGTAAAATTTTCAAATAGCAACCGCCATTCTTTGTGTCATGTTTATTAGATCACAATTTATATTCAGCAGTCTAAATATCATTTTGTCGAATCATTGTTATTTAAGGTCATGGAAGACGCTCGTGTGTGAAATGCAATTACTTATTCGAGAGGAGGAAAAAGTACTGTGACGTTTTTTGCTTTGAACTAGTGCTTCTTTAATATGTATCTTAACGCGTTTTACGAGTTCACTTTAATTCCTCTTACATTTATTTTTGTTAAAAAATAAAATTATTATTGGGCTTTTTATAGAAATGAACAACATAAAAAGAACTGGGGAGATCTACTGAACAGTATATACTGAGGCATATATATATAAATACACAGACACACATACACACGCGCACGCACACGACATACATACACAGAAGGTTGAGATTATGAACATTCATTTTGATATCGAAATATAATGAATCTGTAACAAGTACATATGTGTTCAATGTATGTATAGCCGAAAGAAATAGTTTTGAAAATCAAATTGTTCGATGCGTTCATATCGTATTGTGTATACGTATACATTCTCATTAATAATCACATATATGTATAATTATAATTCTTATAATTTTAAATCATTTAATGTAACTTCTACAATCTTAATTCGATCTACACATCAGTTGGACAATCGTATCGTATTGCATATTACACTTGTCAACTATTCTACCTATTTTTGTTTTATCAGTTCCATCTTCCTCAGCTAGTTTAATAACAAAAAGCATTGTAAAATCAAACTATAAGAAAATAAAAAATGGTCTTTAAAGAGAGAAAGAGAGGGAGAGAAAGAGAGCGAAAGAGAGAGAGAGAGAGAGAGATAGAAAGAGAGATAGAGAGAGAGAGAGAAGACCGTTCAAGTTTTGTATCAAAAATAAAGCGACAAGATTGGATAGTTATTTTTAACGTATCCTAATATGCGTCATATCAAGTGGGCGATATAACAAAGGCTATTTAAATAAAAATTTCTAACAGTGTGGTTAAAAATGAATGCTTTTATTCCAAACGTAAAACTTATTATATATGTAATTCCGATTCAACGTTTTTGATCGAGAGTTTTACAAGTACATGTATTTTACAAAGATACACTTTATTAAGTTTCTCGGTACTACATGTACTAACGCTTAAGTTATTTCATCGATACGCCATGCAATAAAGTAAACTAGATCTATGTATATACAATAACTATAATATTTACAGACAAATTTTTAACTATAATATCACCACGCTTCGTTTCCGTTAGATATGGCTACATGCGTTTGTAAAAATTCAGCCGAATCTTTCTTGTTCGTTGTATAATGAATTGGTCATGATTTAGTTTAAATATGAATTAAAAATTACTTTATGTCTGATCTATGCGACTTTTAAGACATCGTTTAATTAATGATTTAGGAGAAATTATTCTTTGCAGCCAAGTCCGGCTGACCAATTGCAAATACCACCGACCGGATCAAAGGATAGTTTATCGGGACAAGTGTACTCAGCTCCGATTACCTGACCGTTCACCATTCTGGCGCAAGTAATAAATTTTTTGCAAGAGTCGGGATGTGGGAAATTGCCTTGATCCAGACATCGGAAGGTTCCTTTGCTGGTGAGGAAGAGTTTTCCGTTGAAAGTAGATTTTCCAACCACCGATTCCTCCTCGTCCTCGTAATAATCGTAGTCGATAACAGGCGGTCGCCTAGGTCTTGTCGTTACATTTTGTAGAGTTTTATCCTTCGTCTTTGACTTTTGTCGATCTCTGAGACTCGGGGTGAATCTGAGGGTAGCCCTGCTTGTTGTCGCGTCCGTTCTAGGTGCAACCGTAGTGCTTATTTTGCGCCTCAGACCGTTCCTTAACGGTGTTCGACCTGATTGTGTAACTCTATTAGTTATTCGATCTCCAAAAACAAAAGAGACTAGAAGAATCCCGTTAGCACCCATGGAAGAACATAAAAGATGCATCAGCACGCATATGATTTATCCAGCGTGAAGAACGAGATGTGCCTGCACACGTAAGGATACAGGCAAAAAGGGAAAGAGTATCAATGTGCGTAAAAGTTATAATTGCATTAGTATTCATATTGGGCGTTGATACAGACGGTGATGGAAAAGGTGAAGAACATGATTGCAATTATAATAGAGTAGAAATGTATGGAAAGGACAAAAATATTAGCAAAACAGGTGAACGATTATGAAGTCGACGAGGTAGAGTTCTCAAAAGATGTTGATTAGCTTCCATTAGACCCCCAACAATGAAGTACATCTTCAATAAGAATAAAATGTGATTAGTTCTTGATGGTAACCTCGGCTCCTCAAAGGTTTTATAGTGTTTGAGTATCAGAATGGAAGAAGTACACGAATTAGAAGTAAGTAAATGGAAAAGTATCGTCCTCATCGATTGATTCGAAGAGTATGAGAAAATATAAGTCGAAAATTGCAGTGCAATGAGAAATTATGTCCCAAGTGATCCATGAACAAGAGTGAAATATGCGACTTAACATTTTAGTTTATATAAATTAAGAAATCTGATGGTGGAGGATTTAACAAGTTGAGTGTACCCGTAGCTGATGTTTGTGGAGACGGTGGATCTGCCAAAGTCACCGCGAATTCTTGTGCTCTACTACTTTGATCGATATCTTTTTCAGATTTCGGTGTTTCTGTTCTTTCATCCACGGCATCTAAAACATAATATAGAAACGTGTCTTTAAATTGTTTCTACAATTATTTAATAATATATTCTTCGAAAACTTTTTATTTTATTTGATTAACGGAGAGCATCGATTAAAGGAGATTTGAATTTCAAACATATCGCGCACACAATTGTTTACGCAACGCACGCGTTTCTAATGGTACGATATTTGGTCGACGCGGCGTTGTGCTTCGCAATAATTGGCGGGACGCGGCGCGATCATGTTACAGAGTTTCGAGTTGTAGAGTATCATGGTTATGTGTAGATTTTATATTATCGTATCATCACTTACCGAGTTTTTCGTTAGCAAGAGTTTCAGACTTTCCGTCGTTCGAATGAGTTTTTCGATGATTCGCGAATGTGTTGGAAGTTTTGCTTTGCAATGTCGCCAAATTGAATGTAGTGGGTTTCCTCAACCTGGTTGATGGCAAATTTCCTGGTGTACGGGATGTTACCGTACTCTTCGAGGAATTCACCTGTTCGTAGAGCATACGCAGATTGTATTTTGTTTAGGTTCGTTAGAACGGTAAGTAGAATTTTCTCATCGGTCAATCAAAAAATATTAGTCGACGGTCAATTGGTATAAGTTATCAACAAGAAGCTGACGTTACGAAGTATTTAATATGTCGAGAACGAGTTCGTGAACGATTTTTTTTTATAACCGATTAATGAAATTTGATTAGTGAAACATTACCTCGATAGGAGATAATAGAAACACAAGATGCCTCGAATTTTATGACGCGAATAATACAAATTCAAAATATGTCGTATCTTATTAATTGTTCGTAGATAGCGCGTTGTAACGAATCTCAGTGAGGTATCAAGAGCGTAGGATCCTTTACCTAAACGTTTGTAATTTTTGCACTTCAGTTTCACATCGTAAGACTTATACCGATTGACATGTTGGCCGTTTTATTTTGAATAATCGTATTCAGGGCTGAAAAGCACTGAAACGATGCATGAGAGAAGAGGAGCTAAGAATAATTAGAGGATAAGCGCGCGAGACAACAATGGCACTTCATTCTTGTGTTAAATTGCTGAATTTCGTAGCTAAGCATTAACCCTTTGCACTGTTGACATTTTACTGCCATTTCAAAAGCATCAATGAACAAAGGTTATAGAGAAAGTTTCATAATCGTCGAGTTCGCGGTAAATATACATATATGTAAAAGGAGCAAAGCACAAAGGGTTAAAATACATCGTAAGATGAAACAAAATAAGCGTAACGAAGGCGCCCTAAAATATGCGACACACGCCTCGTAGAAGAAAAAAGTGTTAATTGATTTGAGGGTAGAGTAAAATCAGTGGTAGGTGAAGATTATGGCGAAGATGGCAGAAAAGATGCTCGATGAATTTCTTCCGTAGATAGTGATCCCTTCTGAAATACTTTTCCTCCTGCTGTTATACGATCTTTTTCGTTAATCGTTGTCACCGAAGAATCGGATCAACTCCTTTCTTTCGTTATGGCGTGAAATGAATGCCGCGATCGATCTGAGCTTTGTCGTATGCTTTTAAAGTCATCGACGAGTAGCTTTGTTCTTTTTTCGTCCGGATGTCTGGATAAACTACAAGGAGGTCTGATCGGTTTTGTCGTTTTTATTTACGGTTCGTGAATGTTGCGTATTCCACTTTGTTTAGTTAGATGTAAAGAGAGAGAAAGGGAGGGAGAGGGACAGCGAGCGATAGCGTCTGAGTTAGAATTACATATTGTAAAGAAATTGTTATACTTCTTTTTTTATGTCATCGCAAGTCGCAAGTGTAGGAAATTTAAAGTCTAAACTGACCTCAGACTCGGATCGACCGATATTTTCCTCGATCCGAAGACGTTCTTCTTTGGAGACAGCTTCTTTTCCGGTAAGATTTGCCTTTGGCACAACCTTCTTTTCCACGCTTGTCTCTTCCTTGTTCGCGTTTTCTCCATCATTTCGATTTTCTACAGAATTACCCGCTTTCGTTCTTTTCGTGGAGCCAGTTATCGCTTCGATTTGCTCGGATTCCTCCTTAGCTGATTTCTTCGTTACTTTCAGTTTATCATCGTCGTTGACCGTACGATTAGTCGTACGAGTGGTTGTACTGGTGGCAAGCGAGTCGTTCACAGCTGTACCAGTAACAAAAGGTCTGCGGTGTCGCCCTCTGTAGCTAATAACTCTACGACGAGGATGTTGCGTTCTTCTTGTTTCTTTTATCGAATCCTTTTGATCTTCGTTCGATGGGCTTACATAACGATGATCCTGCCTACCGTCCTGAGATTTACGTCCAAACTCGTGATTAGGATTAAATTCGATCCTTTGTCGGCGGCGATTAAATTTATTCGCCGATCTTTCGGATTGAGTAGAAGGACGCGTCGTGGTTGACAACGATGAACTGAACTTCGATTCTTCGCCATCCTTCACCACGTTTCTTCTAACTTCGCCAGTTTGTTGGCTGCTACTGACCTTTTCGTCTGTCGAATAATTCTCTTGCAAATGTGCAGCATGCGTTCCATTTTCTATATGTAATAACCCTGTTTCTGTTACGGATTCTAAGATGTTTGTTTTAGTCGTGAAATTAGATTGTACTTCGGTTACAGAGGTTGAAGTGGAGTCAGTATTTTTAATAGACAGGGTAGCGTCGTCATTAGTCAAGGATTCACTGGTCGTAGAAACAATAGACTCGGGTTCATTAGAGGATAGAGAAGTAAATGTAACAGGTGAATCGGTCGGAGAAATTACGGGTATAGAAATCGAAGGTGCTGCATTTGTTTCCAAACTTGGTATCTCCGTAAAGAGATCTATATCTTTTTCTGTTTGCACTCGATTCGTCGATGGTGCTATACTTTCGTCTCTGTCTTTAACTTCGTTACTTTTCGTGAAAAAATCGGGCTTTAAAGTTGTAATAACTTGGTTCGAAGATTTGGAATTTTCTTCGCTATCATTATGGTTAAAATCGGTAACGATCGTTCTACCTGCATTGGGTTGTTCGATTTCGTTAGCGATCTTGGAAGAAACATTTTCTTTGCTTTCTATCGACAATGTTGTCCATTCGGTGGTTGATTCGTCGTTCTTTACTTGTTCTGGTATCGGATTTTCCGTTTCGCTTCTAGTAACATAAAAACCACGGGGGACTTGGCTTTGCATTAAATCAACTAAAGGAATACCACGCATAGTGGTAGGTTTTAGGGTGACAGTCGTTGACGAATCCTGTCGATCGATCCTCTTCTTGTTAGTCAACGAAATATCGTTTTCATCGATATTATCCTCAACGTAATACGTGTCTATACTATCCACGGATAAATCTAAATCATTTTGTATCGCGTAGCCTGTCTCTTCCTTTTGATCATGCTTATTTGGCATTAAAGTTGTTGGTTCTGCATTGAAAATTGTATCATTCCGAACACTTGTTCCCTCGAGAATGCGGTTCGTGTTTTTTTCATGCGATAAAATCTCTTCGTCCTTCGCTTTAAGAGGAAACAAGCTCAAGAATATGGGTGACGGACTGCTGGCGTATTCGTTCGTTTGATAACCAATTAGTTCCTTGAGGGTTGGTAGTCTATTGACTTCCGAGCTGGCGACCTGAAAATTAGAAGAGGGTAGCACGCTTAATGACGATCTTCCGAAACCTTTCTCTTCGATCTCTCTCTTTTCAGCATTCTCGGGGCAATCTCTTTTTGTCTTAAACGAGAAGAGAGAGAAGGTAAAGAAAGTGGACGATCCTCTGCGCTGATATCGGTGATTCTATGCTGATTTTCTGGTTGTCAGCTATAGAGGTTTGACGATCATTGATTCGATTATCCTGGCAGCTTTGTTCCGGTATTCAAGATCGGGGAAACTAGTTGACAGTGATTCGACGAAGGACAGAAGAGGAGAGAACTTTCACCTATTTTTTGACTCGTTGATCGTTAGATATCTTGTGAATTTTTCATGATACATGATAAGGATAATCGTGTCTATATATATATATACATTATCGATGAACGATTCGAGAAGACGCGTTTTATTACTTGGTAGAGTCCCTACTGCCGATCAAATTGTTGAACACCGATTCGATCTCGATCGTGGACGATTCATGAGATTCCGTGGTGAACCGTGCCTGATGAAGAAATTCACCCTCTATGGGCAACGTGGATCTTTCGACTTGGCCCTGGCGAATCTCATTCACCGATTCGTCCTCGTTCCCTTCCGATTCATCCAGGGAATCCGTAGATCTTTCCAGCGTATCGGAGATCGGGGAGGCTGTAGTAGCAGGATGTTCCAATCGAGCGATCGTAATCTGAAGGGGAATCTTCGTGTTCGACGTTAACGAAGAGTATTTCGTTTTTATCAGAATCTTTTGTCTTTCCGTGGTGGCCGATTCCTCGACGGATGTAACCAATCGTGTCACCAGCGGTTGCGAAGAAGGCGTAGTCACGTAATCTCCATCTACGAAGTTCTGAACCTCCGCTCGTTCCTCGTTCAAACTCGTCCAAGTAGTCGAATCTGCCTCTTCGTTCTGATTACGCGGTGTCGTTCGTAAAGATTGTTGCCTTCTATAAGCATCCGCCACGTAGTCGAATTTCTTCGCTGGAATCAGAGTCTCCGTGACCGGTGGTTCTGTGCTGGGAACTGGACGTCTCGCGTAGAAACGCGTTCTCACCTGCGTCGAGGAGTCGAAGCTGGGCGAATGCGTAGCATCTGCAAGCGATTCTTCGTTCTCTTCTCGCTGATTCCTCGTTATCTCTCGATATTTGTAACGCGTCCTCGGTTGACGAAAGTTCTGATATCTAGACTTGTGATTGTTCGATTCTCCGGATTCCTCTGGTAACGAATCGAGAGAATAAAGACCCTCCACGCTCGCCGTTTTCTTCAGCGATTCTGGGACTCTATAACGAGGGCGAATCTCTGGTGAACGATTATTAAAAGATACCGATCGATGGCTTTCTTCGTTTTCTGAGGATTCGTCGACGTTTGCGGAGCTTTTATCGAGTGTCGTTTCGCTTTGTACAGTTACCGGAAACGGAGAACGTCTTTCACTGGTCGATGGAGTAGTGTAGCGGTTCCAGAATTCTTCCGATTCTCTTGCGGCGGATGGAGTAATAGGGTAGAAGGTTTCATCGTAGGCTCGATTGATTCTTGGAGTAGCGTTTTCGACATTACGTCGCACTTCCAACTGCAATTCCTTCTCGTCCCCGAATTTATTCTCATCTATGAAATCTTCTTCGATAAATCCCGTTGTTCTCGCGGTTGTAGAGGAGACCGGTCTACGACGAACGAACAGGCTCTTTCTACGTTTCGACAGACCCACTTCGTTTCTCTCGCTAGTTAAAGGCACGTGGGACGAAGTTTCTATATTTGGATACCAGTCGTTGGTGACATTTTCCGAAGAAGAAGAAGAAGAAGCAACTGGCCGCCTGCGTACAAATTTCTTTCTCACGTATCTGGAGTCTAAATAGTACGTTCTATTGTATGTCTCTAACCTACGGTTGGATTGGAAAGCCGCGGAAGGTGTAGTGAGCTGCGAAATAGTGGTTGGCAGGGCGTCGAGTTCGTTCCTCGATGGTAACGTTTCATCCGAAATATCATTCGCGTCGGTGAAATTAATTAAGAAATTCGATGACGTGGTTGATTCCGTTGCACCGGTTTCCACTGTCCACTCCTCCTTGCTTGTCGTGGAATCGACCACAACGGCGGTAACATTATCGATTATCGTCGAGGCCATCGTAACGACATCGGATTCGGAGAAACCAGTGTCACTGATCGCAGTTTCTGCAGTCGACGTTTCCAAAGTGACTCCTGTGAAACCATCGGTTATATCCAAGTCGATCGTTTCTGCCGTCACAGTTTCGGTCGTTGACAAACCGAAATTTTCCGTCGAAACGTCCGACGTTTCAGCAACGATCGTACTCGTCGCATCTTCTCTAGGAGTCGTAGATCGAAATCTAAGCAAAATTTGATCCTTTTCCGTGGAAGAATCAGCATCTACCGTGGATACCGTGCTTTGAACCGGCCGAACACGCTTGATCACTTTCCTCCTACGGGGAATTAATTTATTTTCTTCTTGTTCTGCTTGCGATGTAGCTGTTGTGCTCGATGTAACGGGCCGTCTTCTTAGCAAAACTTTTCTGCGCCTCGGAACAGCCAAGTTTATATTCTCTTCATTAACCGTTTCGGTATTGTTCGCAGGAAGGACGATGATCACGTTTGGTTCAAAATCTTGCAATTTGATAGCGCTATCGGTCGTTGTAAGGACTTGATCGAGCCCTTCGCTAGCATCGACTCGATCGTCCGTCTCCGTGTTCACTTCGTTCTCTATTGTCAATTCCGTGGTACGAACAGCTTCGACGGTGTTCGTCTCGGTATCTAAACCAGTAATCGTAGTTTCTTGCGTTTCCGGTGATATCGTCGTTGGAGATAAAACTTTATCGGTTTCGTCTATGGAATTCACGATCGGTCGTTCGGTCGTAGTTATAATTATGGGTATGGTGGTGTCGTTCAAAGAACGATCGACGATCGAGTCCGTTGTTGTAGTAGATGTCGAAGAATAGAAGAAATCTGGCGCGGCTTCGCTTGTTTTTTCTTCCGTCTCCTTTTTGAACTCACCAATTTCTACGTTGTTTCTTTTCCTCGTATATCTTGTCCTGGCGTACACGTCTCTGTTCAATGCAGTCGGCTTTTTGAATACCTTGATGTTGGTGATTTTATCGTTATCTATCTCGTCTTTAACCGTGTTTTTCGATCTCGAAGATAAGCTCCTTCTGGGATAACCTTGGGCGATCCTAACGATAGGACTGTCCTCGAGTTCGTTAGCTTTGGTGGATTCGGTGGTGGTTTTAGCAATTGGCCGGCGGAACCGCGTTCTCGAAGCATCCGTGACAATGGCCGTGCTAACAGGAGGTTCCGTAGTTCGAATGCGTTCTCTAACTACGGAGTTGGACGAATCTTCGTTTCTAACTCTGAAGGTCGGCGGCGTGTATCTACTCACTCCTCTGCTTTTCGACCTTCCACGAGTGTGCGCTGTCTCTTTGACAACGCCGCCGCGAGAAGATTCGATTTGCTCGTTCTCAGTAGTCGGCTCGTTTCGACCGGCGTTCTCCTGCCTCGGTCTTAATCGATCTCGTCCTACCAAAAAGGACGAGCGCGTTTGGTTTCGCGACGATATACTCACCTTGGACCTCGTCTGATCGTTGGACGGTGGCAACGGAGTGGTGGTAGGCTCGGTCGTAGGTCTATTTCTTCGGTTAAAGCTAAAAGGCCTTGGCTGAGATACCGATGCGGTGTTGATCCTTGTATTTGGAACCGACAACGTAGACAAGTTCGCTGGTGCCGTAGTTAGGAGGATTTCCGTAGCCGAATCCTCGACGAGTTTCACAGATTCGGTGGTAGTCGAGCTAGCCTCTGGAGTCGTTGTCGGAATCGGTTTTTCCGTTTCCGACTCGACGAGGATATCGTTCGGTGTCGAAGATAAGCCAATCGAAGGTAAAATGTTGATCACTGGACTCGTCGCGGTGGTGGTATCCACCTTTTGATCGATTTCGGTCGCTTCGCTCGAGACCGATTCCGTAATTGGTTCTTGGCTAGTGGATGCCACTTGCGAAACAACCTCCGTAGAATGTGAAGTCGTGCTTCTGAATCTTTGAACGCTAACATACCTAAAGAATATTTAAATAATTAGATAACAGTCGCTTGAAGTTTACTAAATGGCGGAGATTGTTTTAGGTATAGAAACCTGGATTTAGTTGTCTGTGGACTTTCTTCGTTTGCGGATGAACGAGATTCCTGATCTCTGGTATTTTCGGAAGAACTCGTCTCGGTATTTCTATAATCGAAAGAAGCAAGTTATTCGCTTTTCGAAATTGTATTCTTTTTACTTTTGGCAAACAGCGATTTTGAATTAAACGCGAACTTACTTGGGAAACACGCTGGGACGCCGGCGTCGGCTGGGAATAGGCGCCTCTTCTTCCGTGTTCTTATTTTTCTCCTCAACGTCGTTCTCGTATCTGAGGGATTTCCATTGCAACGTTTACAAGAACAACATCGTCCTCCTGCGTCTATTCTCTTTCACTTACCTTGAGGTGGAAGGTCGAGCGCGTCTGATGTTGATATAATTAGGCGTCGCTCTCTGCGTCGAGCTAGCTAAGAAAGGATTGCTAATAGTCTGTTCCTCGGATGAAGCTACATCCGTGTTATCTTCATCGAGATCTTCTTCTTCGTCGAGTTGCTCGTCTTCGATCGGCGGTTCCTTCGTAGACGGCCTGTATCAAGGGAACGAAACGAACGAAACGTTATAGTTACGCAACGAATGAAACATCAGAACGTGCGATATCACGTACTTTGGTCTCTCGATGGTCACGTATTGCGGTTTTTGCGAGCGCCTCAAACTCTTCACTTCCGGAACCTCGTCCAATCCCTCGAACTGCGCACTTCCTGGCCCATTCGCGTAATTTGTATTCGTAGAAGTACGTTGCTTATTTGTAACTTTACCAGCTTGTCGATTCAGTACACGTTCGTACAAAGTGCGACTTATCGTAGCAGGAGTAGCGTTTACGCTGCCAGAATTCGCACTGTTGTCAGCATTCTTGTCTTGAAGTAACAGCTGCTTTTCTAGTTGCTCTATACCACCTGCTTTCTTGATCAGCATTATTAGCTCTTTGATAACCCTAGGATCCTCTTCGTCCTCAATATTGGTAATCTCAGGCTCATTTTTCCCAACCTTCGAGGTGGTCGTAGGCGCTTCTGTCGTACTCGTAGTCGTAGTCGTACTAGGCTTGTTTCTGGTAATCGTTTTATACAAAAGCGCTTTCGGAGTGGTAGTCGTTTTAGGCTCTTCTTCCTCTCCCTCTTCTTCATCCTCCTCTTCGACTTCGTCGTCGTCCTCGTCGTAGTACTCGTACTCTTCCTCCGTGTCTGGTTTTTCGGGGGATGGTCGACGCGTAGTGCTATAGAGATAAGTGGTACGGCTGGTGGCAGCGGTTATCGGTGCTCTGGTCGTCGACGCGGACGACTGAGACGTTTTCGATTTGGGACATACAACGTTGCGCGGATAATCGCAGGAATCGGCTGCCTTGTTAAACACCAAACCTGTGCGATCGAAGGAGAATCATTTTTAGAACGAGTAGACGACCTCTGAAACGGATTTTCGGATGATTGCGATCGAATTACCAGAAGGACACGTAAACTGGTGCGCTACTACGCCAAGACCTCCTGGGCCGCTCTCCAAACACCAGAAATATTTCTTGCAATCTCGGGGATGCGGGAAGAATCCTTCGTCTTCGCACTTGAAATCTATTGAAAATAAAAAGTTAATATTTCTGCGGTGTGGCGTTTGCGAAATATCGCGGCTAAGTTACCTGTCCCGGGATCGGGTGTCGTTGGCGGTTCCGGAGTAGTCAGTTTATTACTCAACGATCTTTCGTTCGAGTTGCTGTTGGTTTCTTCTTTGCGGCGAGCTTGCTTTCTACGATTCCGATTGGAACTCGATCGATCTTTCGACGATCTCCTTTTATTCTTGTTGCTCGGTCTTTCGTTTTTGTTCGCAGTCTTAACCGTGTTTCCTCTCTCGGAGCTATCCTCTTCGTCGGAGGATGAGTCGTACGATCGTCTGTCGACTCGTTGATCCTCCTCTTCCTCTTCGCTGGTTTTAGGACGCGAAAACGTCCGATACTTTGGTCTCGAGGAGGACGCTCGGATCTTCGGGGCAGGCGCTGCAGTCGTGGTGCTTCGTCTACCACCTTTTCTTCTTACGGTATTGCTCTGAACACCTTGGGCTCTGGGTTTCTTACGATTGTCCACTGTCTTTGACTTCTGAACGGTATTCCTGAAGTTTCAAAGGAAACATCGCTATCGGTGTCGTTGAAACTGTAAAGCAGCGATTCGTCGACTCGGTGTACTTACGAGTTGTCCGTCAAGAGCATCTCTTTAGCCGCTTCGATCAGAGGATACGGACGATCGTGACATTTGCCCCGGAAATCGTCGTTGTCGATCGTCCAAAACATAATTCCCCCCAAGTTCTTCTCGTTCGCGTATTTGGCTTTTAACTTGACTATATCTTCGTCGTCGTAACCTACCCATTGGTCTCCCTTGTACGCATAAGGACCCATAGCTTTTGCATTTGGTTGAACCACCTGCCACTCGTCCGATTGCGCTAGGCTCTCGCAAATCTGTGGAAGCGGTATCGTATTATTTGGTCTTAAAATTAATATCCCGATGGTAAACGGCAAACGCTAACTTCGTAGTAAGCGAGGTAGCCTTTCTCGCGGGTCGCGTCGCCTTCGACTCCTGGACCATCGGCCGGTGAACCCAGATCAGTGGCATCCTCGTTGAAAAGCGTGTAGGATCGGCCGTACGTTGGAATTCCTAGGATTATCTTGCCCGGAGAGGCACCCTTTTTCAGCAGATAGTTCACAGTGTAATCCTGGAAACGTTATCGCTAGCGTTAGCGTTTACGAGATTCCACACACCGATCCACACTGCCAAAGTCTTACGATCGTTAACTCGGTGTCGTAATTGTATTCGTTGTCCTCTTCCAGAGGATACAGAGGAGAGTGATGATCGACGGCTGGTTCGTAAGACGAATGGTAGTCATACGATAAAAGATTGATGAAATCCAAGTATTCGTTTAATCTAGGAATATCGTAGCCTTTGTCGATGTACTCGATACCAGCTGGCATCGCCAACGTTAGTAAAAGTCTCGGTCTTCCGGTCTTTGAAGACTCCCTCTCAAACTCCTCTCTCAGTTCCTTTGTAATCAAATATGAATGGATTCGGGAGAAGCATAACGCGTTAATAACATACAGTTAGCTAGATCGGTGAGATATTAATTTTTGTTACTTTACCTGCACCAAACTGGCATAGTTGTCTTTGTCCCGAGGCTTTCCACCGTCCCTGAAAGCTGGATATTCCCAGTCGAGATCGAGACCGTCAAAGTGATTCTTTCGAAGGAACTTTATGGCGTTCTTGACGAATTCTCGTCTTCTGTCAGGGTCGGCAACCATCGGAGAAAACCTACTGGAACCTTCGTTCCAACCTCCGATAGCCAACAGGGTTTTCAAGTTCTTGTTGTATGTTTTTAAGCCAGTGAACTTGGCGTATCCACCTTTAAAAGTTGCGCAAGGTTAATCGATGCAATTTTTTTCGTGTCCTGACGAATCTGGTTTCTCGTCCTCTCTCTCTCTCTCTCTCTCTCTCTTTCCCTCTCTTTGTTTGTCATACCTTTCTCGATGTCTTGGTATTTGTCGAAAGGCTTCAAGGCATTGTCCTTGGTGAAACCACCGAAAGCGTAGATTAGATGGGTGCATAAATACGGATTGATGTTTTGCGGTGAGAACTTGGCAGTGCCTGGTCGATAGATCGACCAGTTTGTATAATAGCATACGATCTTGCGTTCGGCGTTACCTACGTTAGACCGAGTATTCCTTTGTTAATTTCGTTTTGTACAGGTGCTTTAGCTAGCGTAACTCTTTCATAGAAAGACAAGCACGAGTGGTCGACAGAGAAACTTTGCGGAGAAATTGAAACGCGATTGAACTTTCATTTGTCGAGCGAGAAACAGATCCGCGAATCGCATACGCCACGAATTTTCATGCCTGTAATCTCGCGTTAACACAAACGAGTTGCCTTTCTGACGCGAATCTATATAATAAAATCTGTCGTACTTGCTACTTTTATCGCTTTTTACCCGTTTAACGAGAAGAAAATTACCGTTTGCCGATAATTGCAAACTGTTCGTTAATGCTTATGCACAAGTACTTACATTAGCCCGGTCATCAGTGATCGCTCATCGTGTTCGTAATTTAGGATTATACGTATATACTCGTAGATAGTTAGTGAGAAACACGGTGACTGGTGCGTCGCGATTTCTCTTTTATTTTCACACGTTTCCTTCATTGATAACCCGATTTGCAGTCGCCTTGACGAACCGTTGTCGGTACTCGCTTTCGATCGGGAATTATCCTCGATGCTTTCACTGATCGCGCACGAATCGAGGCCGTTCAGAAAGAATGTAAAAATCGAGACCAGAATCAAGATCGTACCTGACCCTGACCACCCACGTGGCACAGAGACTCGTCAACTCGGTCAATGATTTTGTTCCATCGATCACTGATAACGCACTGTTCAACTGCATTTCAGTCGCTACCGGTCTTCGGTTATTACCAGGAGTTTTTTAACATGAAATTCTATACACCGAATTGGAAAGTTTGTTTTCGTTTTCGATTTTCACTAGCAATATACTAGCAATACGTAAGTAAAAGTAGAATTTTATATAGTTTCCACGATCGTTTTCCTCGATTCGCATGCTTCGCACAAAGCGGAATTGTGCTTGCATTCGTGTTTGTGTCACGACTGACAGGATAATGATAATCGAGCAAGGAATAGGAACTACACCCGGGGCAAAGATCGACAGCGATACAGAAAGCGTCCGAGATTCTGTTTTATTCCTACACGTTGGCAATAGTTTCGCGTTATATGAACGTTACAGAGACGGTAATGGAGTTAAGCGCAGCACATAATACCGGAGATAATATCGGTAAGAGGCTCGAGACACGCGGTGTTACCCGCAAATCTGGAATTCCTACCGCAGCTGTATCAAACACGCTGTCTACCTGCTACCGAGACCGCTAAAACGCTCTGTTTCTTATTTCTGATCCTGATTATCGATGCTTGAACGAGCATTGTCGCCTAAGTACGACGTCCTACGATCGAAAAGAAGTTAGTGGTCGTTAGGTCTACAGGATACGTACAGTGTCCGGTATACTTAATGATCCGAAGCAGTTGATCTCGTGGTTAGAAACTACGTTACGTTCTATAGCTGTGCGAAGTAGCATTGGCAATCTCGCGACGCGAGGAATTTTCCGAATGTTCTTCCTTCTGTAGTACATCTTCATTTATCGCAACGAGATTTTCGTTAATGCCCGATTAAGTGAACGTTTATCGATTAAATTCATTTATCTGAACACGAGCTTCTATTACGTGGACGAAAAATAATAGCAGGAAAATTGATGAGCTGCTATCATACGAATTCTAATTGTGTAAACTGTTTGTCTACCGACAAGATCAGATAAATGGAGTTCTACCGTAATACGCGATATACGTACGCGATAGATCGCGATCGTATCTTTATCGTATCTCTTTATCGAAATGATCCGACACGTCGACTATAAGTTTTTTCCTGCAAATCGGGCAACGATTATCGTATCGATTATGAAACACGGGGTAGAAATTTGGCGAGAACGATCGCATTAAATATCCCGACGGTTTTATGCCTACAATGTTCATACTTTCGAGGTTTATTGCCCCTTTCCCTATACATATCGACTACACCTCGAATGGGGCCCCGTTTTTGCTTCGATCGTTTTCTCCGAGAAGGTGCATACGTTTCACTGGTCGAGATCTGGCGAGTTCAGTGAAACTGCACCCGCGTGCGTGCACCGATCCCCACGTGCTGCACCGGTTATGCTAGAGAAATTACAGGAGAGAGATCAGAGACTCGGTCACAAAGTAAATGGGCTATTCGTCGTTCCAACCTTGTCGACCCAATTTTTTATTTCGATAGGAACAAGCGCAAGTTTTATTCTTACTGTATCATAGCCTTTCAGTCATTCGTTCGCAACGATAGATGAAAAGATCGCGACGATAATTATCGTTACTAATTAATCACTCTTATAGGATAAACTCGTAGTGTCGATTCGCGGGCTGTTTCTCAACTTGCGGAAAATTACAAGTCAACGTGGAATTTAGCTATCGCACGTCTTGCTTTCCGCCATTGACTCGGAGACACGAAACTACTTCTCCAAGTACAAGTTCCTTTCGGAGATACTCACCGTTGTGAATCGTCGCAAGCAGAATGCTTAAGCAAAGTAGCAGCGACACTGTTCGGTTCTCCTGTAACGGAAAAGCGATGCGGCGCATTAATAATTTGTTATTCGATGTGCCTACGGAGCACGAATAATTAACTGTATCTGCGTGTAAATGGTTTCGTGGTCAGTTAGCGTGAATGACGCGTGTTACGGTGAAACTGACCGCGTACTTACCTATCTTCATCTATGCCTAGAGTAAACACGATGCGTGCGTGCAAGAGTCGGTCTTCTTTCGTTTAATAATAATACAATTATTAATATTCTCTACACATAAGCGAGAATGAGCAGCTTGTGAAATTTTGACGGAACTTGGTAGCCGCGAGCAATTTTCATATTTTTCTACGCGAAATCACGGACGAAATTAGCATCTTGCGTAAGTTTATCATAAGAAGCCTCTTAATATGATACTAAAAGTCGTGACGCGATAATAGCGTGGCCTGTCGAAATTAACGAATTAAGTAGATTTACTTATCAACAGAATAAGTAGACACGCTACTCGATGTAGCCGACGGCTACAGTATGTTAATCATCGTAGCGTTAAAGACTCGCTATAAACTTTCATCCGATCTATCTCTACGATCGATCTCCGTTTCGAATTGTGGTATTAGAAGTAGATCCGGCGATTTGTGCGCTCTATATTAAAAACTCCCACGTCGACTAAGATACTAAGGATAACGTTTTAACCGTGGAAAGAGAAGCTATCGATCGATCGATGAACGGCGAGTCGTTATGGGGTCGCGTTGGCGAGCAGCGCACCTGCCAACACATAGCGGAGATTCCGATTATATCGAAGACCTCGAGGATAAATCGACGTATCCGGCAAATAGAACAGGACCGTGACACCCAACGAGCCACTCCTCGTTACGTAACGAGTGCGTAAAGAGAAAGCAAAAAGAAAGAACATCGTTCCGCGACCACTTTCTCGTACGTTTCGGCCAGCGAGCGCGTTACGTTAACGTTACGTCGTAACGTCATTCCTGACGATAGAACAATAATTAGCATGGCCGGGAGAAGAAACTGAGAAGGCTTGAAACGACCGTCGTCGATCGCGCATTCCACTATTACGATCGACAGGGGTGCGCCCGATTTTTCCGCTTCTTCGTTTCAACGGAGTAACGCCAAATGATATCGTTTTCCGACACAAGCAGTTCGTTTACAAGCACCATAAAGAGAAGGAGAATAAAGAGAAGAATTTTTGATTTCTCGTTGGATGATTTAAAATCGGAACATCGCGTGGCAAAGAGAAAACAGTGGCGATTGAATAAATTGTATGTATAGCCGCACGCTAACATGGACGTGGGTGAGTCGAAAATTCCCCGCGGACCTATCTAAATGTCAAATAACTTTCTACGAGAACGGCAGACTCGTAGCTCTACAAGCGCGCTTCAACCGGGAAATTGTTCTGGCTAGCGACTGCAAACGATACGGTGTGCAACGCGTGAAAACCACCTGCTCCACTGACGAGTTCCATTCGGGAAGTTTCATAACCGGAACGGAAATATTCGCGAGGATTTCGGTGATTCCGATCGTCACGGAAGCTCCGACTGGTATCAGTTATCGCTGTGCAAACTTTGAAAATGTAGATATTTCAACTGGTTGTTTAGAAGTGAAAGCGTAATTATATTCGAACGTTATTCGTTGAATTCCAAGATTCTGTTCGTACCTATGCAAAGATTTAGCAAAGAGATTGTAGGTGCCGTCCGGTGATTTCAATGCTCGCAATAGTCGTAAAGACCTGAATTCGAACCTCATCGATCATAGATGATTCGCAAGTTTTGATTGTTTTTACCAGGAAATGTCAATCGCAGGTACTTTCGATTCCTCATGCAAAAAGAAAGACTATTACTCGATGTGAAAGCAGCGGGTAATAGGAATTATCGATACAGGAAAGACAGGAACGCGTTACTTGGACCAAAAGTTACATCGATTCGGCCACCGATCGGTACCCTGTAATATGTGCCAATTATCGAGGTTCAACGTTACGCAACCGTTTCAATCGGAACCGATTATTTTGATGGAACTGGCGACGAATCGTCAAACGAGCAACTTATTTACATTCGATCCGTACGACCGCCACTGGACACGCTTCGAGTTCCTGTGACATTTGAACGGCTCGTTGACGTCCAGACGATTTCGATGACTTCACCCTTCGCTTTAATTCCGTTACTTGTTGTCGATGACTCAACACCGAGACCTTTTCAGAGAATCAATCGATACGTGTATTATGTAGAACGAGTCGCGTCAGTTTAGATTTAGAACCGGGATTCTCGTGCGTTGCTCTACGAGCAAAAGTAGAAGGCTAAGCTTCTCGAAATGTTTCGTCCGGCAGATGGGGAATTCCATCTTCTAAGTTTAGGAAAACAGGCACGTTGAGAAAATAAGTGTCAACGACGTTCGTATCGAGCGAAACAAAGGTCGAAAGCGAAACACGCTCGCGAGGATCTTTCGATATTCCAGGCACGCAGGGACGAAAGAACGAAATGAGAGATAGTTAATTTTATCGTAACCTTGAAGATCCAGAATCTAGTACCGGTAGCTGTAAACCAGTTGCAAAGGTTACCGGACGATTCGCGCGACATTGTAACGAGGGTTACCATATTCAATGACTTTAATTATTTTGAATCCTGTATTCCATATCGTTTCTCATATCGCGATAAAATTCTCGCTCGATTGCAGCTCCGATACCCTTCCGTTCCTGAGATTTCCAATTATCGCCGCAATCGCGAATCGCACCGAGAAGCAACGATCGTTTGGTAAGATTCAATTATGAGTAATCTTGAGAAAGAATGGTAACCGTGGATTCGCTTAACGTTGATCAAGTGGTAATTGAAGATCGGGATCAGCTATAATGGAAATTGCATCGAGTTGCGTCCGTTTCTAAACTGTAGACTACTTGTTGGGTTTTGAAAATCCAAGTTATAATCGGTTAGCCTTAAACGAAAGAGTAATTTATTGTTTCACATCCCTATGGAACATGTAGTCGAAAGTAAAGCCGAGTCGGGTCGATCTGTCTCTGGCGGATAAATCTAGCGTGGTTTGGTCACTTTTACTTTCCATGGAATTCGCTTCGAGGCACCGGACTCTCGCTCTGTTTACCAGGAAACTAATAGTACGATCGTACCCTTAATTAAATCTTCTTTATCGTTCTTAATTACCAGAGGGAATCCTGACGATTCGCAACATAATGGAGCCCGGTGGTCCTCGTTCTTTGCTTTATTCATTTACGTTTTTCCTTTCGTTTCACTATTTTCAGTTCCGCATTCGGTTCGGCGATTCCTCGCCTCGTTCTTTTTCTGTATTTTACAATCGCAAGAAATCGACCGTAAAACATGGAAAATTATGCGGGATCCGTGGAATCCGGTTAGCGTCGTTAGGAGAGATCGAAAATGCAAATCGGAGCAAGATCATAAAATCGGATGCCCGATTTAACGTGAAATGTGTCCATGCCTTTTTTAATTTCTTTATCGATGAAAAAAGCTTACTTTCTGCCGTAAATAGGCAGGTCATAATTGACGATTAAAAGGAAAAGAAAGATCGCTGAACGAGTCTCTGAAAGGTCAGCAGATGGCCTTCCTTGCACGCTCCAAGTACTTTTTTCGTTCTTTTCTTCTCTTCTCTCGCTTTTAGTCTTCGTCCACTGTCTGCTTTTTCCGTCCGTTCGCCCGTAAGCGAACGAAACATTCCTTTGCCGACATTTTTTCCAAGGACGTTATAAGCTACTTCGAATAAGAAAAGTTCGTCTAAGCTCTATTAGCTATCGTTCTATGATTTCCCTACCACGTGAAAGCGATAACGTTTAATTAAACGGAATAGATTATTCATTTTACACTTGGTTGCGTCAATCGGTTGCACAATTATTTCCGATTGATTCCGTCTATGGTTTAGTTAATGGTTCTCGAAAAATGCCTGCAGCATTTCGAATTTCACGTTGTGTAAACGTTACAGAAATCTTAGATCGGCCCTATTCGCCATGGATCACTCTTCCAAGGACGCGCGTAACTGTTTCTTCATCTCGAGGCTTAGACATGCTGCGTTTCTTTTCTGCCATAGGTGAGAAAGTAGCACGATTCTGATCAAAAGAAGGTACCTAAGTACTTATGCATGTATGTAAAATGATATTTTCGGAGCAAGTACATAGGATGGCAGGAGGTCGGTTTGGGTAAAGCGGGTAAAGAGAACTGTTACGACCTCGACTGTTTTGCAATCTCGAATTGCTACATGCATTCGCTCCTTCTTTGCTTGTCGCGGCGGCTTAAAGTGAAGTGTGCAGTTGAAGGCAGTGGTATGGCTCGAATAACCGGTAGATTTCCTCTCCCTCCTCTACCGGCAGGAAGCCGACGATCGTTCTCAAGTATTTGATATGCATGTAGATCTCGCCCTCGAACAATCCGGTCAGCCCAGCCCCAACTTTGAAAACGCGCGGCGCCGCTCTACGAGGATTTTGTCCGTTGATGCTACCTACAATTGCCCCAGGATTCTACACTCTACTCTATCTTATCTTTCTTTCAACGGTCTAGGCTGTTTTCTTCCTCGGAGAAACTAACGTTTAGCACCAGTCATAATTTACTGAATAAAGTATGGAGAAAGTGATATCGATCAACGACCTAAAGAAGTTTTGCGGTGCCGCAAGTTTATTTTTGATGCACCGAGTTCTGACGTCCAAATCATATTTCTTGATTATCGATTCATCTCCTTGCAAGAGAACACCCTACGTTGTCTATTAACTTGCAACAGCGAACCGTCGAAATGTGGATGAGAATCGGGTCAACCTAGACCGAAAAGCCATAGGAAGATGAACATCGAACCACTCACACGGTGTTTTTTTACGTCATGATTATCATTCATTCTCGGAACGAGAAAGTTCCTTAGTGCTATGCTACCGTTACTTGTTGAATTTTTTACCTAAATTGTTCGAGCGGCTTTTCGAAGAGACCTGTCTTTTCTCATATAAAATTTTAACGAACTCTTTGCCAAAGGAAAAGATCGATAAAGGTGTAAATAATAACACCTTTGTAGTACTAATCTTTACAGGATCTTGCGTCTGTGTGCCAATCCTTATACTTAATTCGATGTCAACTACGTTTTTGTAAACAGAACAAAATTAACTGGAGTATCTGATCTTACCCAATCCATTTTCGTTGTTTGATTATCGATCCCCGGTTGTCGATTGTCTTCGTTGGAAATTCGTCAGGTCGAGCACATCGCGCACTATGCTTGCATAGACACGACTTCTCGATTCCCCGTGTACACGTTTCCGGTGCACTCGCGACCTTGTACCTGTACGTCGACACCGAAGGACACTGAAAGAATCGCGTGCACCGTTCTCCAGGGCAAGGAGTATGAGACTAAGTGTTGAGCAGAAGGTGGAGAAGGCACTGTTACTTTCATGGGTCGTTTCCACCTCTACCGTAAGACTCCCCAAGCCTCTCGAACCATTCCTGCCACTCCTTCTAACAGAGGTGAAAGGAAAACATTTCTTCCCTTCCACCTTCACCCGAATCCTCTGCGAGTTCGTTTCTTTTAATACTGATATATCAAAAGCACTGGTATCTTCGCCTGTTTTTTATCCAATTTGTTTACGGCAGAAACGTCCTAGAGCTGATTTAAATTTTTTGACACGTCACACTTTTTTTGAACTTTCTCAGATTAGTCTATAAATCATCCCGATTTTTTTTCTATGCAAATTTTCCTTAGTCGCTCCATACTATAATCGTAAATTTCAACGCAAAATTACTATCGAGGTGACATCAGAACGTATTAACGAATTAAAAAAGGATTATGCTTTGGGAAGCGACTGTACAGGTAGTTTAGAAGTTACAATACAATAAAACGTTTTGATCTAGAATTGTAGTTGCGAACCGTCTTCGAAACTGCAACTGAATCGGGCTGGAACGTGGGTCGAAGATTAATATCAACTAGGCGATATCCATTGGCACGCGAAACCAATTCAACAGTATCAAAACCCAAATACGTAGAATTAGTACGCATAGTACGATGTGTCACCAGTGGCGTGTTACTGGTAGAAATTCAAAGTATTTTCGAGAAAAGTAAGACGAGAAAAAGTTCCAACGTGACGCGAAGGTTAATAATGTGCACGCTTTTACGAGTCGAAGAGAATTTTTTAACTCTCGATCGATTTGAATCACTGCCAGCTATTGAAAGAAAATACACTCTGCGAGTCACGTGTACTTCGTGAATTTATTTCTTTGTTTCCTCGGTCAATGCTATGTACAAAATCTGATAAACAATTTAACTCATAACGAATTATCTTTATGTATTATAAGTAACTCATAATGAGGCATCTCCCAAACCGACGTCTTCTGGATTTAGCGTCGCCTTTTTGCTCTTCTGAACCGGTTGATCTGTTAAAGAATAATTTATTGGCACGCGCACCGTAAAAACGAATCATAACGTACTTACCTTGATAAAAGTGTTTAGCGGTTCGCTTCCTAACTTCTTCCACGCCTTCTTCGGTTTGAGCCCATTCCAAGACCAGTCTTCGACCGTACAAGTGAGTACTTTGACACAACGCCTTAAACGCTTTCTATGAACGAAATAAAAGGCATGAAATACCGATCGTTAATTTAATGATAAAAGATTGTATTAATTTTTTTGAATACCTTGGCCTCGCTTTTTGTATAATACTCTACGAAGGCGAATCCTCTGTGCTTTTCAACACCAACCAATTTTTTTGGCAGTCGCACCGCTTTCAACTCTCCGAACGCTCTAACATTTTAATAAAGAAGACATAAAAATCGTGCCTAAGTTAGAATAAATAAAGTACGTACTTGAATAGTTCAGTTACTTCCTCAACCGTCGCCTGGAATGGTACGTTTCTTATTAAAATTTTCGTGCCTGTTTGAGCCGTTACTGTCGATGTCTTCTTTACACTCTTTAAATCAGTTCTGCAAATATTTTAATAAAAGAAAATGTTTATTAGAGTTGCAAATGTTGCAACAGAACTCGTAGGAAATTTATAGACATACATTAGTGTTCGTTCAGAACGTTTGAGTTCTAAAGTCTTTCCCTCTAGCACTGTCATTTGTAAGACTTTTAATGCTCGATCCGCGTCTACTTTCCTTTTATATCTAACGAATCCATAACCCATCGACAGTTTAGCGCCAGGATTTTTTGGATCCTTCTTTGTTGCTATCGAGACATAATGAAGAGCACCGCATTTGCCAAAATACTACAAAACAATATATTATCCATCGAATAATAGAAAAATGCAATATTAAATTATTTACCGTTTTTAGCTGCTCTTCTGTAGTTGTGAAATTAATATTCTTTACGAAAAGAGTTGTTTCTTGTTCAGGTTCATCCTCATCTTCGCTTTCTTCTTTATTAGCATTATTTGTATCGTTTATACTTTCTGAAAATTCCTCTGCCTGTTTGTCAACTTCTTTAATGTTCTGTTTCTCGTTTGCCCCAACTTCTGTGGCTTTGTTTTTTCCCATAGGAGGAGGGGTAGTAAAACTATTGTCAGGAGCCCATTCAAGATAAAGTGGTAAATGTTTATATTTAGTATATGCCAATTGTGTAAATGCTTTTCGTGCCTCAGAAGGTTCCAAGAATTCCACCAAAGCTAAACAAACATTACACGATAACTCGTCGTTGGTAATGATACACATAATGATATTAATAAAAACCATACCAGTAATTCCTGAGGGTGGCATTACAAATCTCCCCAATTCACCATGTCGTGCAAATAATTGTCGAATTTCCTGTGCCGGCGATGCAGCAGGTAAATTTTTTACCAGTATCACAGTTTTCGACCGTTTATTCGGTGGCTGAGAAAATGTACCAATCAAATTATTTGATTGTCATTTTTTATTCTCGGTTATATCCTAAATAATACTTACTTGATTGAATGCATCTAAACAAACTCCGTTTTCCTCCAAAAATTTCCTGGAATCCTGAACTAATTGTGTTTCTCCCAATGCCAACTTAACAGCGGCACTTAAACCCTTTGATCCATCTTCAAGCACCTTTTCCTTCGTCGTATTATAAGTAGCAGCTATAGTGTCTGCTACAGCATTTTGACCAAGGAAAAGAGTATTCCAATTGTGCGATGATCCCGCAGCTATTTTAGCTGTCAATTCTTTCTTCTGCTTGTAAGTTAATCCTCCTGTAACATAAAAGTTATACGCACTGCAATTATTCGAACAAACTGGACGATAGAATTATATACGATTTATTCTCACTTTCGTCAAGTTCTTCCATAGGGTCGGATTTCGCTTTAGCTGGAAGAACATGTAACATTCTTCCGTCTAAAATCGAACCGTCTAACTCACTGTATGCTTTAACCGCGTGCTCGGCCATTAAAAATGTTATTGTACCAAAACCTTTTGGTTTTCTGGTTGTGCGATCGATAGGTAAGTTAACTTCACTTATAGGACCTATATAAAAGATCGTGATATTAGTATTGTAAATATCGTATTATGCATAAAAATCGGCCATCTACCATATTTTTCAAATAACTGTCGAATATTATCTTCGGTTATTGTATATGACAGATTTCGGATAAACATTCTTCCAGATTCCGCGATGCTATCTTCACTTTTTAATGCTTCTAATTGTTTCTTCCACCTAACGTTATCGTCTTTGTTTCCTGCTTCATCAGAATTATATTCTTTTGCTTCATATTGCATTACAAATATTTGTCTCCCATCTAAAAAGGCCAATAGAATAGATATAAGCAAAAGAAAGATGGAAAATAAAAAAGCTCCCAATTGCAGTTAACTACATTGTTTATACCTAAAAAACTTTTGTTTTTCAGCAATGCTTTCCTCAAGTGCTGTTCAGTTTTGAAACCAACATAAGCAATACCCTTAATTTTTGGTGATATTCGTATTGATTTTGCTTTCAGTGGATGAAAAAATTGTTTGATATTTTTTTTCTTGTGATTATATGCTAATCCTCGAAGTTTCACAGTAAACAATTTTATAGAACCATGTTTAGATTTACTCTTATCATTCGAAATCCTGTTTTCTATATTCTTTTCTTTTCCTTTCAAGGATTCCATGTACTGTTTAAGACAGAACAAACATAAATATATGCAGAAAAACTCATAAGTAGAAGAAAAGTATGAGCATTCAGAATTACCTCTAAATCAGATATAACTTTGTTTGCAATCTTTTGCTCCTTCTCTTTTCCCTCTTCTTCCTCATCCTCTTCTTCCTTACTGTATTCTTTATCATTATTCTGATCACTAGATTTACTATCATTGATTTCATTATCACTATGTTCTTTAGTTTGAATAGCTGCCAATATTGTATCATTCTTCCATATAGCCTTATCTGTTGTATGACTTTCAAGAAATTCCATAAATAAAGGATCATCTTTGTGCTATATATATAAATGAGTAATGTGATAATTAAGTTTCCAAATTTAAAAAATATAGCAGCAAAATAAGCTATAGTTATATATCTACCTTTTCCAATGCTTCTCTGATTTCCTTTTTAATGCCTTCTTCTTTTTTACCTTTCTCTTTGTCTACTGTTCGTTTGTTCAGGGCTGTGTTTTCTGTTATCTCAGTAGAGTCTGTATTATTAATCTTACCCCTTGAACTATCAGGCGCGTATTTACTCCATGCTCTGGGTTTAGAAGAATCTCCTATAGGACTCAATATTTATGAGTAAATATTAAATACACATCACTGTTTTTAATATAATTATATATTAATAATTCACAAATACCTAAACTTGCACACTGTTCAATGGATATTTTGCAGGTGTCAATACATGTTTGATCAAAATATTCTTTGACAGCTATAGCTTGCTCTTCTGTCTTAAATCCAACAAAAGCAAATCGTCTAAATTTGCCATCCTTCGTATATTTTAATTGTACGTCTGTTATTAAACCTTTTTCACTGAAAAGTTCCTTTAATTTTGTATCTGTAATCTATAAATCGTCATCGCAAATTAGCTTTCTTACTTATCTCTTATTTTTAATCTTTTCTTTATTTTAATGTTATGATAATTTAATATAATGTCGTGAGACATTGTCACTTACATTTTTTGGTAAATTTTTTACTATTAATCGCGACATTTTGTATGTATGTATTTATAATTATTACTGAACATTAAATGTTTACATAAATTGCACATTTACGTTTCATAGAGGTTATGTTTCTAGGATATCAAGAAGGTGAGTACCAAAAAGGTTAGGTTATACCATGTGCATATTTCTGTCCATGGAATATACATACATACATGATACGTATTCATATATTGATATATGTATTGATATACAATCTATCGGTCATACTGATAGATTTGGTGGAATTATAACTACTTTTGTAAAGCAAATGTACGATAATAGTAAAATAATATACAAGTGGATAAATATAAAAGAAGAAGCTATTTTATTAAAAATTATGAGCAAATACAGCTAATAATTTAAAATTTTTGACATCAAGTTATACAAATAAATTCGATATGTCTATAATTACATATTATATTATAATTACTAATAATTACATATTATACTATAATTACTAATAATTACAACACGTCTATTGATTAAATTAACTTGTACTTTGTAAACAAAATTCCATTTATCTTTCAAGCAAATACATTTCATAAAACTGACGATCTTCTTCTTTTCGAAATTTTGGAACGAAGTTTACATGAACAATTTCTGTAAAGCCTTCCTCTAAACTTGGTTGCTGATAAGATTTCCTAAAAATATTCCAATATAATAAGCTTTGTATAAATTTAGTTTCGATTTTACTTACACATAAGAATTAATAACCAGGTCGTTAACTTTAACGTGACTAGGATCGGTTAATTCCCGAAACTGAAATAAAATATTTAGTATAGCATCTATATTATAAATTTCGTTATATCACTCCAAATTAGACTATTACCTTATTGTTATGTTTCGCATGGTCAATACTTGTTAACATAACGAAGCATCTTACGGGTATGTTATATTTTTTCGCTACTTCGATATATCTCTGCCTTGACACGCAATCAGGATTAGTATTATCTATAACTACGCTATCTTTTTCGTTTATGTGTTTTTCCATTATAGTAATACATTTCTGCCAACTTCCCAGAGTATCTCTATTAACATATCCATAATGTTTTAAATAATTTCTTACAAAATGTGATTTCCCAGAACCAGGACAACCAACCATTAGAATAATCTAAACATATATATTATATATAAGAATTACATGTTTAAGGATTACTTTCAAACAACGTTTAGTAAAAATTATTACTTCTTGACTGCTTGAAGTTATATTGCTTCCCGAGCATATCTCTCCATCTGGTAAATTTTTTGGATTAAATGTAGGCAATTCAAAATGGGCCTGTTTATGACCGAGAAAATGTTCCTCTGGTGTGTAAAATTTTAAACCCAAATTAAGTGCTAGCAATCGGTCAGCTGACGAATGATCTTTCTTTTTTCCAGGAGCCCAATTTTTTGGGCGTCCGGCTGCATCTCCAACGTAAAAGGAATTATCTTTATCAATTGATATAGAATCATTCTTCTGTAAAGAAATTATTTAAAATCAAAATTTCCATGGTAAGAATAATCATTTTATAAAATAACCATTACCTCCTCCAGTTTTTGCCACATTCCAATTGCTGGTTTTCTATAGATGTTACTTCCAGTAGCTATAAATATCTGCAAATGAATTTTTAAATCACATATAAGATCATTTTACTTATTGTAAATTTATAGAAAAAGAAGTATACCTGTATCGGAACCCTAATTTTTTGTATTATATTTTTAAGTTTATTCTTGAAAAATTTTGGATTTATCTTTCCAGATCCAATAGATCCTTGATTAGTGAAAATTACTATTTTATAGCCATCATTATGAAGTTTGTGTAATTTTTTTGGCACATCAGGATATATAAGTTGCCAATCATCATAATCCTTTGGAAATACTAAACCAGATTTTGTTTTTATTAAGGTTCCATCCATATCATATGCTGCTATCTAAAAATAAGAAGACTTAGTCCATTCTTAAAAATGTCAATATTCCTTTAATTTACCTTTGAACGACTTTCCACACCCTGTGTTGTATATATTAATAATGCTCCACTTTCCTTACTTTCCCATGTATCCTGAGCAGTATCTAGATCTATCATATTATCTGTATCTTCAAGTTTATCAGAAATTATTTTATTTCTGTTTATAAATTTCAAAATATCATGAGTATTTTTTATATGCTTCTTTTCTATTCGTGCTTCTTTTTCCTGAGTTTTGTGGTCTTCATTTTGAATATTATCATCCTCAATTTTAACTATTTTATGAGAATTTTCTTCATTTTCATTACATATCTCTGTGCTCCTATTTCTTTTCTTTGGTAAAATAGTTTTAAAAGGTGGAGGATTAAATTCAATTTGATAAATATGCTTTCCATATAAGATTTCTAAATTATCATCATGATCGCCTATAAATTTAACGTCTTTACGTGTTTTAAAGCCATTAAAACCACAGGGCCTAAGTCCAATTTGTTGGATAAAGACTTTGTGCTCCTCATAGTCTGCATATAGTTGTACTACAAAAAATAATGCACAATGCACATTATAGATAAAGTACGAATCAAAATAATTGATAATTGCATAGAGCAAAGTATAAAATTATAACCTTGTTGTCTAGAGCATTGCGTATCAGTAATATTTGTCTCTTCAGAACGACCTAATATAATTGATTTTTTATGTGGTAAATACACTGTCTTTAGTGTTTTATCATTGCTTTTCAGATAACAACTTTGAGCTTGCTGATTCATCTAGACACAAAGAAATAATACAATTAAGGTAGCGGCATGAAAATGATTGATAAGCAAAATAAACATTCAATAAAAATCTGATATTCGATTTTTTAGTATCTAATATCTTTTAACTGATAATAGGTCTATTAAGAATATCTTTATAGATATAAATAGCTAAAATAAAGTAATATAAATGTTTTATATTCATTCATTTATTCTTTTACAATATCTATCTATTATAGAATGTTTTCTTATCCAAATCAAAGCCAATGTACATAGTAATTTATTACTGATCTCAGATTAAGTGCGAACATAACCTGATATAACAGATGGAGTACACGAGTATCAAGGCTAGAAGAAAATAGGTGGCTAGATTAAATGTTTACATTTATTAGTAAAAATTGATATGTTCACTGTATCAATTACGTAAAATACAATTGAACAAAAGTTTTAAAAAATATGACTTCAAACGAACCTACCGAAGTAGAAAAGAATCCTTATGCATACCTCGAAAGAGCTGATTTTACGTCTGAAAAGTATAAAATTGAGGTACACGGGTTACCAAAATATTATGGAATTGGTGAATTTAAAAAGCTTTTAAATGAGAAGCTGGAGTTGCAGTCATGTAAAATAAAGCCACCAAAACGGAGCAGTGGATGGCTTTATGTATCTTTTAGAAACGAGGAGAATCGTCGGAAAGCTATAGAAATATTAAATGGGATTTTATGGAAAAATTGTAAGCTTAGTGCTCAGGTATTTTAATTTGGTGTTATATTATTTTACATATTTTCCTCTTAATCGATATGCAAAACATTTCTTACATATCGTAGTTCTTATTAAATTGAATGTAAATTGTATCATGAAGATTTTATCGAATCTTGATACTTAGTATCATTATATGCATATGTGCATAAAGTAATTTTATCTATTAAAAATAGATTGCAAAACCTGCACCAGATCCATTTGTAAAAAGGAGACTAGAAGAAGAAACTACAAAGAAGCGTTTAAAATTAGATAAAGACGATCAAAATATATCCATAGAAGATAAAGTTAAATTAACTACGATTCCCCTTTGGGAAATGCCTTATCCAAGTCAAGTAAGACAATACGAAATAAAGTGTATATAATAGAAACTTGAGAATAATGTGTTTTTAGTTGGAACTGAAACAAAAAGAAATGAGTTTGATTCTATCAACTATCTGTAAACAAATGTTGAAAGAAAGCAAGGGTGATCTTTTAGATTGGTTAAATCATCAAAAAACTAAATATCATGGATTGCCTTGTGAATTGCTTCCCATTTTGAGTACAGATACAATCACAGAGTATAGGAATAAATGTGAATTTACAGTTGGTAATTCCATATATGAAATTTATTTATCTTTCTGATAGATTCTGATAAATATATCATGTATAATATCAATTTAATTCAGGTAAAAGCGAAAAAGAAAATGAAGTTGTAATAGGATTCAGATTATCTAGTTATGCAGCTGGTTCCACGGCAGTGGGACCTATTGATAATCTTTGTCACATTCCTAACACAATGAAAGTTGTAGTTAAGGTAAGTTGCTTAGGTTTCTTCCAATTTGAGTTCTAAGATTTGTTTTTTGTATTGCGAGTATTTTAGGTGCTTGAAGAGTTCATGAAAAATACTGAATTAAAGCCTTTCGATCCAGTTGATCATAGTGGGTATTGGAGACAAGTTACTGTTAGAAGCACTCTTTGCAACGATGTGATGGTAATAGTGGGAATGCATCCACAAGATTTAAGCTCAGAAAAATTAGAGGAATTACAATTGCAACTCAAAACTTTCTTTGAAACCGGAAATGGCGTACAAGCACGAGTAACATCGTTATATCTTCAAATAATGAAACTAAAGTATGATAATTGGCAGAGTGTTCAATAGCTAAGTTCCATTCGCCCAATTAAGTTGCTTTTTATTTCTAATTAGAAGCGTCGACGAAAAAAGTGAAAACAATTTTTATCACATTAGCGGAACGAAATACATAGAGGAAATGTTGTTGGGAATGAAATTTCGAATATCTCCCCAAGCGTTCTTTCAAGTGAACACGTTAGGCGCTGAAGTATTGTACAAAGCAGCGATTGATTTGGCAAAACCGACCGTGGATACTGCGCTTCTGGATATCTGTTGTGGTACCGGAACCATAGGCCTTGCATTTTCAAAGGTATCAAAAATAATCAATAATTAAATAAAACATCATATGGACAAGAAATAGATACAAACGATTTTAGTATTGTGGCGAGGTGTTTGGAATAGAAATGATAGAGGATGCTATCAAAGACGCGAAGGAAAACGTTGTCGCGAACGAAGTATCAAACTGCGAATTTTTTGTTGGTAAAGCCGAAGATGTTTTGTCCCCTGTAATTCGGAGAACCACTAAGGCCGATATTATCGCTGTCGTGGACCCACCGCGAGCCGGACTTCGTAAGACATCGTTAACGTAATTTTTGTTAACTTTGACGAAAATATGTATAAGTATAAACATGTTTATTCCAGATCAAAGAGCGTTATTGACTATGCGCAAGGCGAAAAAATTATCGAGACTAATATATATATCTTGTGATCCTCGAGCAGCTGCAAAAAATTTAGTGGATCTAGCTAGACCCGTCTCAAAGCAATACACCGGTGAACCTATGGTGCCGATAAAAGCCGTTGCTGTAGATATGTTTCCATATACCAAACATTGTGAATTAGTTCTATGTTTGGAAAGATTATCCACAGCCATGAAAGCACGTGATTGTACGGAGCGATAATTGACGATACTTGCATATTTCGTTCTTGTAACGTTTCTTTTTCAATAAATGATACGAATAAAAGTATCGCCTCTCGCGTGTACGGCTTGTAATCCGATTAATTATTCCTCCTATTGAAATAGACTTACCTTCTAGGCGAATTATTCGGGGAATCAGGATACGATGGGTAATGTTAGGGCATATGTCATGCATGAATAAGGAATTGCTTAAATTTTGAAGCAATCGAGTGAATACGGTTCATCCAGTTTGATGCACTTTAAGTAGATACGTTTAATCGATACTTGTATGTCGAACGCTTTATAAACCAGAATGATATATATAAGCTGACACACTGTTTAATACAACTGTTGCTTTCACTGTGATTAATAACGGATACGAGAAAGGAACAGCATCGAAGAGGTAGACAAATAGATTCGATAATTCGCAGGCTGACAAGTGGTAAGTCCGATTCATAAGAAAAGACAGAATCATTTTTGGACTTAGGGTATAGTTTGACCTGAGTTTGTATTTTATTTGTTTCTCTTTTGATCGGGAAAAGCATGCGAGGAATCTCGTGGTCGAATCGGGTTTCGAAGTCGCGGTGTAGACTGGTTACGTTGGTTCATTATCACTTTCTCTTGAAGCATGTTACAGCGTTGAAGTAACAACGCCAGTAAACCCGTCCTTTTGCCTGTCCGCGCCGTTGAAGGTCCATCTGTATAACAAATGAAAATTGATTTCGAAAAATTCACTTTTGCATAAAGGGCGTAGCTTTCCGAACGAATTTGTTAGAGAGTACATGCAAAGAAGTATGTAAGGCAAGTTGTAATGCGACCTTCACCGTTTGCTCGTCCGTTGCAGGAATGTTTTGCGAATTTCCCACCGGCAAATGAGGCCCCGATGACCTCGGCAACGTTCTGCCTCCGAGTTCTCCTCTGTTCTGGTTGTCCACCACTTTTTGCAACGCGACCATCAATTGATCGAACAAAAGAGCCGCTCTCTTTGGCACTACCACCTGGAAAAGAAAGTTTGATTCGATCAAGGGAAGGATCGGTGTGATAATAACGCTTACCACGACTTGCGGTATTCACTAGTATGGTAATTACACGTGCGTAGGATTTACGCGATAATTAATTGAATGGTATCAAGCGGCGTGGACTGTAATACACGGACACAAGGTGGTTCTGTTGTTATCCTGCTCGTTTTCATCGATCTTTCGCGTCCCTTACTCCTGATATTTAATGTTTACGCCAATTAAAATTAATTAGACCGGAGGATAATTGCCGTGGAGTTTTAACGCTGAATCACGCCACCTGACGTGAATCTCCTGCTGATTTTCTTTCACATTTCTCGCTTCACGTTTCTGGGATAAAGCCCAACCAGGGTGAAAATAGGATCTAGGAAATTCTCTTCCATCTTCCGCTAATTTTAACCGTCGCCGATCCCTATTCTACCATATTAATAATTCCGTTTCGCACGAATTCGACTTGTTGGTATTTTTATCAATCGCAAAGTTTCCGAGAAATAGCAGAAAGGCAGGAGTTTACTTTAAATAAACGGAGGAAAACCCACGTAGTTTTCGTTCGAACAACTTTCTTGCGACATCAGCTCATGAATATCTGTTTCTTCGCGACAAATTATCTTCTCCAACGAAAACGAACAGTATCGATAGCCCATCTCTTTGTATTTTCCATTTGTAATCCGTAAGCTTGTCAACTTCTCGATTACTTTGACGAACTAACAATAAGAAAGGCGGATTTATAACACGTTACATGCAGTTTTGTTAGAGATTAATCTTTCTTTAACTCGACAATTGGCAGAAATCGATGTTTCTAAGACGTAAAATATAAATCTTAAGACGATTACGAGATTATACAATATATTTTACAGTTTGCCAGCAATAATTGTTTCATTTCGAGAAAATTAATCGAAAATAAGATGTCGAGGACACGGAATATACGTATTTGAAGGATTTAACGAGCCAAAGGATTCCACTCGATTATCTCGTCGTTGCTCGAAGCTTTCCGAAAGTTGGCAACTCGATGCGGATCTAATTATCGCCTTCATTACACGTTTCAAATTAGTTAGCCAATTTGCTCCACTATTATATCATTTGGGTTCCTCTTCGACCAAGGCAAGTCGCATCTTACCGAAGCGTATCGGAGGGAGCAACGAACGTTCACATCGGCTGTATCGTAAAGTGATCGTATATCCATAATATAGAGATAAAATTGACCGTGATGCGATTAAACGGATCTAATGGATTTAATTCACAATAATATAAAATAAAATGAAAGATAACGGAACTAGCTGGGTCAGAATATGTTCAATTTTCTGTGACGTTGGAAACCGGTGACCAGCAAAATTTTGATTTCCCACGGAAAAGTAAGCCGACGTGCATGTAACGTACACACACCGAGGTAAATAAACGCGGTTCTTTCTTGTTGTTATACGACCCGAGCGATTTCCCACAGGATTCTCAATCGGCTTTTGTTTACTCGTGACGTATCATAAAAATCGTGACAACTGGAATTCGACAAATAGTCGTACAAACGGATGACTGATCTGCAACATTTGCGGAAACATAAAAGCCACTGGTTTGCAGATATGTCAAGCGATTTTTCTTCCTGCGAATTCTTCCTTTCTACTCGTCCCAAGAAAGCTCTCTTACCTATTTCTCTTTTGATTCCCTGCAAACGAACTGTCAACTATGCCGGCTGATTTTCCCTCCGTCATTCGTTGAAAAGAAAACAATTTACTAGCAATGTTTTATTGTGCTCTTGCTAAATAGAAAGAAAGTGGTATTCGGGAATGAACTGAATAAGAAAAGGTCGGTTCAAGTTTCGTTCGCAGATGGTTAGCTCGAAGCGACGCAGGGTAAAAGAGAAGAACGAAAATGTCGCCGATGACAGTAACACGCGAACAGCTGGAAGAAAGTCAAAAGTAATTAAAATTCTCTGCCACCAATCGACAACAGCGTACAGAAACTTGCACGTAATTGAAAAAGAAGCATCGAGCAAAGGCGTCTTTATCCTACGGTCGTCCCGCTTGTATTAGAAACAATCGAAGAAGAAATACACGAAGCAAATATCTTTTCCTTCTTTCGAACACGCTGACATTAGCAAATCCGATAAGAACTTATCGATGGGCTTACTCGGAACCTTTTCGTAGATTTACTCTCAAGCAAGCGCTGCTTTGTTCAACGTATTGTCGCGTACAAGTACGCGAGTGAACGTTTTATATAAACTATACGCGAATACACGCATGAATTAATGGCAAATTAATGCTCAGATATAAAATATTAATTATCTATTTTAATTCTTATTATTATTATTTATTTATTTAATTACGAACAGCTGGCGCCCTTCATTTTAGTAAAAGAGATTAGTAACAAAGACAGGTAATGGTGCGAAAGTAATATCAGTGAATTACGTAACGTTTTAACATCTTCCAGCATTTCTAGTACTTTTAACACTTTTCTTAAATGCAGGAAGCGATTCGCGAAAAATGTCTAATCGATGGCCAAGAAAATTACCACGTTTGCAAACGCGATTAATGCAACATAATTGATTTTGCACAGGGATGTGTGAAGAACTGGGCATCTCCTAAAAAACATATTTATATTTAGGTAAATACGCGATCTAACGATTCTTTCATTGCGTATTAACTTTTGAAGGTAAATTTTGTTATCCTACGTGTCATGTCTATTGAAGTATAAAATTGCCCTGAGTCTGTGTTTTTCCAGCTAAAGTACGTTGTATTAAAAACAGCAATTATCCGCGTATTTTTGAGCGGCGATGAAGGTTTACAAAGTCTGGAAAAGAAAACGTTAACAGATACGTATTTACTGGAGAAATTGAGTCTGTAGTGCAGAGTGTAGAAAGATATCGAACGACTTCAATCGCGCAACTTTCGATTCTGTAAACGATTTTCAATAACCTTGGAATGTCCTCGGAGGCAATACGTCGTTGAGCGGCGGTGTCATTTTATTGATAAATGTCTATCGAATTTGGAGGAATTTACTTGAAATAAATTTATCGAACTTTGATTTATCGAGTAATGAAAGATGATCCCGATGGAACTTGGACAAAATTAAACCTCTCTCGTCGATGCCGAAACCGCTGAAATTCGTCTCTTAAATAATTCCTTTTAATTGGAACGCATCGATGTCCCAGCCGTAACACAAATTTCATTGTGCGAGGTGGAAGCGAATCGATTACATTTCATTCGAGTCTCTCTTAGTAAATATATTGAAATTCTTTGAACTTCATTATTTGAAAAATATCTCTCTCTTTCTACGATAGATTAAGGAAGGAATAAATTGTCAAAATAACGAGTTACTTTATCTCGAATACACACCAATGAATTCATTTACTAGTATGCGTTCTATCACTCGTTCTTTGATCAGATTGTGTAATATATTATGTATAACTTATCGTACTTAGTGACGTGTCATGCACGCGTCATCCATTCGTGGATCCACTTTCGAATGGCACGAAACGTCGAAATTACAATTGCCACGGTTAGTCGAGAATTTCGAGAAGTACGCGTTAACGCGAAGACAAATGTTCTCTCGCGCGCGTGTAATGTATCGTAACATGTGGCTCACGAGCATATCGCATCTTTGAAAAACAGATAAACGAGCAACATTTTATCCATCTTGTCCGGTCTTTTTTATTTTAACACGACGAGCGAACTGTGTCACGTGCCAAGAGAAAAGAGCTTAGTCACGATACAAAGAGCAAAGTGGATTCTATCTTCAGGATTATGTAAGGAACATCTTCGTAAAACGGCACAAAAAACCGATAGAGTTGGATCTGTTTTTTATAGCGATCGAAGGAAAGGACACTTTGTAGAATCTGTGGGAAAATGACACGCGTGTTAGGATTACGAGTTGGACAACAAAGAGGATAGTTAATAACCATTGACTACAAAAGGCTGAGCTGATCCTTGATGCGTTTTTAGGATACGGTAGAGAGCTGCTTGTTACTCGCGCGATCGCTCGATCGCCGCTGAAAACTTTAATTAAAATCGATGCTCCTAACGTGACTCGAAAGCTCCATCTATCAAATATCGTGAGCTTTGTTCTTAGCGCGATCA